CTGAATAGTAGGTAACATGCAAAACGCACATATAGTGGGCATGAGTACCTAGACTTATTAGGGTACACAACTACACTATATCTAGCTACACATCCTTGGCGATATACGCATCCTAACCACTGATCTTGAGACTCAAGCTCATATCATGACACCATACTTATATATATAAAATCTAGTAACCATCATATTCAGTATAAATTAATCCTCCATAAGTCATTCAACTTGTTCAGCTGACCTGACTTGAATATAAGTAGGACTTAACATTTTAGTTAATCCATTCCCTTATATAATAAATTAATCCTCCATAAGTCATTCAACTTGTTCAGCTGACCTGACTTGAATATAAGTAGGACTTAACATTTTAGTTAATCCATTCCCTTATATAAAATAGGTAGGACTTAACTGATAAGTTAATCTGTCCCTAGAATGCCACCGTCCCATACCGGTGCATTAAACCACATAATCCATCAATTAATGTAACAATTAAGGAAATACATCAAACAATCCAGAAATAACTATGATAATATGATATCAGGTTACCACAAAATAGGAATGACTTATTATTTATTTAAGCTTCCTATATTATATGTCCTACATAAACTGAATCTTATACATATGATGATATTTTATTATACCGTCAAATAAGCATTCTATATATCCAATTCATCCTACACATTTAATCTCAATTGCTAAAACATATTAAAAGATTAAATCCATTCGTTTGTTTAAAACATTCAAATAGCAAGTATCATTATGATTGAGTCTATTTAAATTTATTTAAACCCAAACCTAGTTCATATTTAATGTTCAGGAATCCTAGCCATGTTTCTACGTTCCATCATTCCACAGATATGAAAAATACATAATTTAAACATGTAAAAATTCACACCGAAAATCAAATCAAAATCATGCATTTATCAATTCATATCACAAGAACAGATATGAACTAAATTCATAAAACCTATGTTCTAATCCAATTAAACATGCATAATTATTTAATTTTATGTGTTTAATAAATTCTGGAATTTCCTAGGCATGTACAGAAACACGAATCAAAGGGAAAGAGATAGAAGAAGAACTTGCCTTAAACTTTCGGATCGAAAGTTAAACTTCTTCTTCCTTGATCTTCTCTCTACATGGTTTTTTTTCCTCCTTCTTTAATTTTCCTCCTTCCCTCTCTAACTTTCTCTCTCTAGAATATATCACGTGAATATTTCTAACCCCCTTTTATAACCTATAACTATATATTTATAGGCTAAATAAAATAACTCTAACCCTTTTCCCAATCCAAGTCAACTTGAAAAAAATAAATATTAAATTATTAAAAAGGTAAGTAAAATATGCTACGTATATAATTTATGTTTATATTTATTAAATAAATAAATTATAAACATTCAATTATTTATTAATGGGTTATCCAATAATACTTAAGTTACCATAATATTGTAAAATAACTTAAAACATAATACGTATCAAATTTATGTATATTTTTATTATTTAAATATAAAATATATACATCGCATTAAATATTACTACACAAGTCACCATAAAAGTAATTAATAAATTACTTTCCTTTTATATATATTAAAAAAGTAAGTAAAATATGTTATGTATATAATTTATGTATATTTATTAATGGATTATCCAATAATATTTAAGTTACTATAATATTATAAAGTAACTTAAAACATAACACGTATCAAATCTATGTATATTTTTATTATTTAAATATAAAACATATATATCAGATTAAATATTACTACCCAAGTTACCATAAAAGTAATTAATAAATTACTTTCCTTTTTATATATGTATATAATATATATCTATATATTACACAACTATCCATGGTTAATAATCCATACACATCCAACTCCTATCCAACTAGTCCATGAGACTAAATTGGTTGGCCCATTACTACTAACCATAACCATAAAAGAAAAATAAAATAAAATAATAAAAGAAAAGAAAATATTTAATTAACAATTAATCAAAACACCATTTAAGCACATAATCTAATTAAACAATTAACATATAGACAAATACAAATAATACATAGATACATAATCAAATAATCAAGTAATACATAATTTAATTAAACACATGAGTAATTAGTCAAATAATCAATTAAATAATTAAAAATACAATTAAAACAAATAAATAAATATCAAGACTATCCTTTTAAAATTAGGGGTATTACAAAAACGACGTCGTTTGCAAGAAGGCTGATATTTTGTTTTTTCTCCTGCTGTAACAGTGTGCCAAACAGTGCTTGCAGTTTTTTTTTTTTTAAAAAAAACCTAAAAATATGTTATTTAGAGCTCTTTTTTTTGGGAAAAAAAAAAATTCATTAAATAAAAAATATATTGTTTAGGCATTGTTTGTCAAAAAAAAAAAAAAAAAAAAAGGCCAAAAATATATTAAAAAACCTTTTTTTTTTTTTTTTTTGTTTTTCCCCTTAAAATTTAGTTTTTTTTTTTATTAATTTTTTTGCTTTAAATTTTAAATGTGTATGCCAAATAGTGTATTTGGTCGTAAGGCACTGTTTCTACAGTACCAAACATGCCTTACCGGCTATAATTTTAAAAAAAAGTTTAAAAATTCAAATTTTACCTTTTTTTTTTCCCTTAAAATTTGGTTTTTTTTTTATAAATTTTTTTGCTTTAAATTTTAAATGAGTAGGCCAAATAGTGTATTTGGCCATTAAGGCACTGTTGCTATAGTACCAAACAGTGTCTTAACGGCTATAATTTTAAAAAAAAATTTTAAAAATTCAAATTTTTTAACTTTATTCAAAAAAAAAAAAAATTAAAATTAAAATTTTTTAAAATCTCTATAAATACCCCAACTCCTACCATCACTCATAACATTTCTATTATCATTCAACTTATTTCTTTTTCTATTTTCTCAATCTTAGATTTTATTTTCAAAGTCATTTCGATTCCATGGATTCTCGACATCCATATTATTACAACACACAATTCAACCCATCAAACGTTGAGTTTTTGTCATTTCCCGAATAAAATAGCAATTTTCATGGAGAAGATTCTCAATTTCCTTCTCATTAACCATCCCAAACTTCTCATCAATATTGTGGTACTAGTGTTCCACAATCAAGTAACTCGAAACCCTCGTCAAAACAACCGGCTATCCGACCTAATAATTGGACTAAGGCTAAAGATGAAGCTTTACGTTGGGCGTGGTTGTCCATTACCTCTGATGTGTATACGGGGGCAGACTAAAGTAAAAAGAAGTTATGGGAGCGAATTCTGGAACAATATATACAACATATTGGTGTTCCTCCAACTGAGCGAAATTATGGAGGTTTGATGAATCGTTGGTCGGTGATCCAACAACAAATCAGCAAATTTTTCGGTTGCATGACTACCATAGAAATGAATCGTCCCAGCGGCTTCAGCAGTGATGATATGGTGAGTTATTTATTGTTTAAATATAACTCGTTAATATTTTAAATAGTCGGCTTTTAATTTTTTGTTATTTTTTTCGTGTAAATGATAGCAGCTAAAGACCTGTTTTGTAGCCAAATAGATGGTGAATTTAAGTTAGAAAGTTGTTGGGAGATTTTGAAGCATGGCAATAAATGGAATTCACATTTAAGTTAGAAAGTTGTTGGGAGATCTTGAAGCATGGCAATAAATGGAATTCACATTGTGCCGAACAAGTAGGAAAAGGAAAAAAAGAAAAAAGAGCCGAAGAAGAGGAGTGGATTTGACTTTGACATTAATGAGTCTGTTGGGCACTCATTACCATCTACTCTGTCAAGTCATGCAGCCACGACAGATTGAGCTTCAACTGAAAAATCACCACACATAGAGGAAAATGATTCACCCGGTGTGGAAGAATATCAATTATAAAGACTAGCAGGAAGAAAAGCGGCGAAGCAGCGTCGAGCAAAAATTAATTCAGCGAATGAATTGCAAACTTCATTCGTTTTGAAATTTAATAATATCACCACCCGTTTTGAGAGTCGTCGGGAGAAAATGCAGGATGCCCAAGTGGTATGAGAGGTAAGAAAAATGGAGAAAGAGAAGACAAGGCAGCTAAAGATTAAAGAGAAACAGAGACTTGAAGAGAAGGAGCTCATGTTAACATATCCAAATTCGATACCAACAGAAGCGGGGAAAACTTGGATTATCGCACGACAAAATGAGATATTGGCATCTTTGAATTCACGGTCCGCCCCAAAGTTCTCATAGGATTTTGTTATCCTTGGTCTATTTATTTTCTTATTCCAATTTAGGATATTTTATTGTTTAAGTTATTTTTAATTGTTTTGTTTAATTTGTTTTTTTTTTTTTTAATCCATAATGGATATTGTATTGTTTCAAGTTCTAATATCAATCGTAATTTTTTTTTAATAATTTACAAAAATATTGTTCGATTGAAAAATATTGCAGTTGAGAAAATATAGCTGTTGCAAATATAGCCGTTAAAAATATAGTCGTTTAGGAAAAGTTAAAAAAATTAAAATATTAATATTAATTTTTTAATATAATTTTTTTTGGATAGTGAAAATTCAGAGAGCTTGATGGAGTGCATGTTTCTAAAGAGCGAAAACTGCTGACGTAACTCTTGAAATTGCTGATGTGACTCTTGAAAAAACTGAGATGGCTTTTTTAGGGAGTCAAAATTCGGAGAGACTGGAACAGATGACCTAATCGTACGTGAAGGAATAGGAAACAAGAGTAACCTGCATATGGAAGGAATAGGAAACAAGAGTTTGGCTCGAAAGGGTGTTTGGGCGTTGCTATATATCGCGAGTTACATAACCTGCGTACGGAAGGAATAGGAAACGAGAGTTTGGCTCGAGAGGGTGTTTGGGCGTTGCTATATATCGCCAGTTACATAACCTGCGTACGGAAGGAATAGGAAACGAGAGTTTGGCTCGAGAGGGTGTTTGGGTCTAGGTATATAGATCGCCATTGGACGGAAATACCCCTTATTCGAAGCATAATAACGGTTTAGGAAGCAGATTAAAAAAATCAGGTGAGCGTATCTTACCCACGAGTCACACGACTCACAACTCAAGCTGCTAGAGTCATAGGTGGAAGTAAAAACCAGAGATTGGGATTTCTTTGTTCGCTCATGAGACTTGATTCTCCACCAGCTTGGAAGAGAAGGAGATTCACCATCGTTGATCCGATGGACTTGGAGTTAGCAAAGGTTTTCTTATACTTTTAACCCATATCTACGGATTTCTATATATATATTTTTTCAATTTTGTTTGCTTTTGTTTTGATCATTGATGGGTTGATTCGATTATATGTATATACATGCTTTGTTTATTTATTTATTTATTCTTTAATCTGGTCTGTCCCATGTTCGAATTCATGACTAGTGGGTAATGGGCCTAATGGCGGTGCCTCTTTAATCCGATCAAGTTGGTTTGTTCTTTGATCACTTATTCTGATAATCTTTAATGCAATTGTGGGCTTGATTGAAAATAAAAAGAAAAGATTTTGGAGTTTGTTGGTTGATTAGGTTCGCTAATTTGTGATTAAGGGTAATTGAAAGCTTCAGATGATGTTTATGTATTTGATTGATTGGTTGGGTTGGTAATAATACGGTTAAAATGGAAGATTATGAATCACATGATAGCATGTGGATTGAATTAGACTAATGATCTTAAAATTGGAAACTCAGGATTCATGTAGCCAACCCTAATTAGTTGGGGAAAAAGGTTAATGTATTTGTTGTGTGTGGTGTGGGTATCCATCTGTGTTTTGAGCGAGGGAGGGAAGAATACCACCGCATCTTATTCTTATGTTCAGCTTCTTTTTGTTTTGTTATTATGTTTTCGTTTTCGTTTTTTTCTTTTCCCCTTCAATCCCCCCTTAATTTTGATAAAATGTGAAACAGAGTAGTCGAGAGCAATTGCTTGCTCTCTTAGTTGCTCAGGTGAGGCAATTGGCTTGAATGAATCCCCAAAGTTGAAAGTTTTCTTTTTTTGTTGAACTATTTTAGTTCCTTTAACTGAACAAAGCCCGTGACTTCTACAAAGGGGTATTTATTATCCTATATTCCTTCTGTGAAATACATCTCAATTCCTATTGATTATTATCTAAAATTTGAAATTTTCAAGCAGATTGAGAGTACAATAAAAGAAGACAAAAAATGGTTTAATAGATGATCCAAAAGGAAATTTAGGGGTTTGAATATATAGTAAAATGGTTTTTAGCACTATTTGATTAAAAAAAGACCAAGAAGAAGTTCAAAGGTCATGGATCTGGAGTTGATGAAGTAATGGCAGTTGCATAATGACTATGATAATGAAATGACTTCAACTACTTTTGGATGTTCAATTATGTATTTCTCTCTCTCTCTCTCTCTCTCTCTCTTTTCCTTTTCTTTTGATGTTCCAGAAGTTTTAATATACATAGGCTTTTATGTGGGAATTTTATATTCTTTTTCTCAATTACCAAAATAATTAACTGTTTGAATGATGTATATGTAATATATTTTGAAATTTTAGTCATTTTAGCTTATTTCACTAGTTTAAGCATTTGTTATTGTTAGAACATATTAGTGCTAAATGATTATTAAAGTATTGAATGGTGAGAGGGTTTATATTGTTTAAGTTTGGTATAAGTAGTCTTCTACATATTGTATACGTATCGTTCATTTTTAAATTGGTGCCTTGTTAACTCGGATTAGAGCCTGGAGGATGCCTTTCGCCTGTACTGGAATACAATAAACTATGCCCTCCTTAGGACTGTGCTTGTTGTCACTACCATACGTCCAAAACTGACTGAATTTTCCTATTTGATTATCAGTTATATCTTCGACTGAAGGGTATTGGTGATTTTCTTCTCTTCTAAAGTGTTAATGTCAAATCTAATAATTGCTTATCCCAAAAAAAAGGAAAAAAAAAAAAAAAGGGCCTATTGTGATTCACAGAAGAAGGTACTCTGAATCGTAGGCAGCAGGTTATGATGAATCAAGTTTTTCATGACCCGAAATCCCCATTGAGCAAGCAGCCTGTTTGTATACCTTTTGTGAACCATACTGTAGGTCAATCACGCTTCAAGATTTCTACTGATACGATCGTACGTTAGTCATAAAGCCCTTAAAAGTCTTCCTTGGACATTTTTAGTAACTTGGATCTGATGTTCCGAGTCTCTATACAAGTTAAGGGAGGCTATACCAACTTTTAATTATGAGCTTTAAATTATTTATATATACTTCGTCATTGCAAATCACTGCTTTTCCACACTTTCATTTAATCTGTTCGGTAAAATTAGTGGGTTTTTTTCAATTTTCTGTATCTGAAACAAGTGGTTTCTCCTAGTTTGCTTTGATGCAAGTTTAATATAACTTACTTGCTGGTGTACTCTGGTGCTGTGCTATTATACTGATGATTCTTGCGTGGTTTCAGGCGAAGCTTGCAGCTGCAAAGCAAAAATTTGGACGAGAAATCCGTGTGTTTGAAACTTCAATCACTTCTCAATCGGCAAATGATGAGTCCAATAGCGGTACATACTACTTTAAATTTACGCCCTTTATCTTCATCATTTACCTATAAAGTATTGCTTGAAATATGTGTTGTGATACCCTATTGAAGTGTTTGATTCATTTTTTTGCAGAGGAGAATGATGCCTTCTATGAGTTCACTGCTGAGGACTATTATAAAATTCTGGCTACTAAAAAGGAAGGTAATATATGAAACAACCCTATTCTCCTTCAACGATGTTATCATATTTTTGTTTTAATGCAGTTTATGTTTGTATACAAGAGCATGCACGTGTGTGTAATCTTACAATGCTGGATATTTCTTTTAACGGTATTCAAGCAGATAAATTCTTGAAGACAAGGAAAATCCGAGAAGCAGAAGAGGCTGCTCGCAGATCGAGGATAACTAAGGTTTGCATTGGATCATCCTTTGTAAATGATTTTCTTTCAGCTAGTTTAAATATATATGCACAAAAATTTATTTTTGTTTGGTTTTGTTTTTTTCCCGATAAGTTTATGCATAATAATTTCAGAACAAATGTAAATTTCATGAGGTGAACTTTTATGCATGAAGTGTAGGACAGCAATGGTAAACTTGGAATAATGGCGCTCTACTATTAGATATTAGATCTGTGATGGGCATTTGTTATGTGAAACTTACAGGGTTAGGACTTCAAAAGGTGGAAAAAAAGGTATAAGATTTGTCGATGATAAGGGGCTCCAGTTGGTTTCATTTTTTTGTCATAGGTAGTCGGAAACAGAAAGTGTACTGGAATTATTGGATAGAAAGTATTTGGGGAATTAAATTCAAAGGCCTCTTTGTAGAAGAGCGGTTATTAATGCATAATATGGTAGGATTTTGGGCTTAAATAGGACAGTGAACATCACCTTGAGAATAGTAACTAAAAGGAGAACTGTGGAAAAAGAAGAGAAGTCAAAGAATCTTACCTAGAGTCACTTATGCTTCAGCCTTGCAAGGGTTATGCTCTAAGAAGTACCAACACCTTCTCTAGGGGTTATGCTCTAAGAAGTACCAACACCTTCTCTAGGATTGTTGTGGTGGTGTTAGACACAGCTAGGAGTGCCCTGGAGTTTGCAAACTTCCCTCCCACACCCTTCTTCCTCCCCTGGTGGACACGACGAGAACATGTTTAGGACACTTTCAGGACACAACGCGGTAGTTCTGCAATTATTTAGAAAAAATAAAAGGAATTTTAAGGCGTCTTTAAAATATATTATGGGTTAAAAAAAGAATAATATAAACATTCTAGGCCCCAAATTAGTGATTACATTCATGCTAATATGAATGAAATGAGCAAAATTTATTATTATTATTTTTATATACGACAATATATTATATTTTTATTTTATTGACGTATTCCTGCTGTGTCATAGTCTTTTTTTGCGATTCATTGTATTCCTTTGTTCGTATCGAGTCGTACCTGAGTCCCTATCCCTACCCATATCTATTCTTCATAGGTTGTGCTACATTACACAAACTCAAATTTGATTTCTATGAATAAACAGATTATAATATCATTTTTTGGGCCGCTTCCTTTTTAATACTCTACTAGAACAGTGACTCCAAAAATAGGAAGGTTGGAACATTTTGAGCACTAGGACTATTTTAGACCACCTAGAACTCCATAATAAACCCAAGATCATAACTTGACTCAGAATTATACACACAAACCATTACTACAGCCTTGTCAGCAAGTTTTGATATCACCAAAATACTCTTGATTTCCCAGAATTACTAAAAGAATAATTTACTCTTCTAGCAACATGCTAACATGAAATAAGTATATGTAAAGGTCCTAAAGACTGCTCCATGTACACTTTATTTTGAACTAAATATGCTGCTGGAATCTCGTGGAACCACAACCTTTATTTTGGGTTTCCGATGCCTATCATATTTGTTCATCCATTCATTTGACATGAAATCATGAAGTTTATCTGCTCATTTCAAACATTTCTCATAATGCAGGCTGTGATAAGAGTCCGCTTTCCCGATAATTACACATTAGAGGCCACGTTTCATCCATCAGAGACAATCCAAAGCATAGTTGATCTCCTCCTCAAAGTGGTTACTCGACCAGAACTACCATTTTATATATGTAAGCATATTGCAAACCAAGAGAGTCATCTTTCTATACATATTTTCATTTTTATTATAATTATCTGAGAGGCATAACTTAATAATCATTTGAAAAGGTGAATCTAAAGAAGTAAAGCTTGACATTTCTTTCGTTTCAGATACTACTCCTCCTAAGAAGCAAATAAAAGACATGACACAAGATTTTTTCTCTGCTGGCTTTGTTCCTGGTGCAATTGTGTATTTTTCATATGATCTACCAAAAGGTTAGTACATAATTTACCAAATTTTCAGGGCATCTCGTTTGCTTTAGTTTACATTTTATGTTATTGATATTGGTGATTCTTCTGCTCAAAAACTTTTTGTGAGAGCAGGTAGCTGTAGGAGTTGTTCTTTGAGGCAGTCCCTGAGTATATCCTGTATCTGATGGATTTAGTTTGAATCACATTAACACATTTCTATACTCAAAATAGTTTTCTCCGTGATGCTGAACATTTTTATTTTCTTTTGTTGGAGAAGGTGAAACATGGGCACAATAATGAACTGTTAAGGGTTTCATGCATAATTAGTGATACATTATACTATTGTAGTATTGATGCCTTCTGATCATGGCATGCTTCATCATGTTGTAGTTTTCTATTTTTTCAAGTTTAAGGGGTTTACTAGATCTATGATCTTATAATATTGGGTAGGTTTTAGAATGGTTCCGTGCCTCAAGCTTTGTGGAGTTATGCTTACGTCTGGCAACAAGTCCAAAATTTTGGGTAACCCACTCCACACCGCCTTTGGTGGAATGGGTTTTAGGGAGCAATTAATGAGGCAGCATAGGTTTGGGAAGAGAAATGCATGCACCAAGTAGACTTGGGTGGGTCAGTATTAATGGTGATATTAGTTAGAATCAGCTAACTTTACCATAATTAGCTGTTTCTTTTAAAATTCGACTTCAATTGATAGAGTCACACATCCTCTCTTACCAAGAGAAAAGGGGTTCACATCCTTTTACCCTCAACTAATTAGACACTCGGGGTTTCTGTCATTGACACACCAAGTGCCATCACCATCTCAGATTTATCCGTTGTTGTTGCCACTTGCCATCATGTGCTCTCCATTGACGCTTGTTGCCACTACTATTGTAATAACCCTCACCCTACCCAGACACAATATTGTTCGCTTTTGGCTCCCCCAGACTAGAGACTTCTCAGGAGGTCACCTATCCTAGTACTACTCCAGAGTAAGCACGCTTAACTTTGGAGTTTTGATGGGTTTACGACCATCACGACTTTAAAATGCATTGTGTAATAGAAGGGTGTTGAACCTACGTATAACACTTCACCTTTCCTAGGCGATGTGGGATCATGATACCCTATAGCTTGCCAGTGTGGTGGTAGCTCGTCCAGTGTCTCGCACCCACACACATCACACCCGCCCACAGAGGTCATCACAATCACCCCCGTGGGGGCCCAATGTTCTCGTTGGCCGCACTTCCGGCTGGGCTCCGGCTCTGATACCATTTGTAACAACTCTCACCCTATCCAGACACAATATTGTCTGCTTTTGGCTCTCCTAGACCAGACACTTCCTAGGAGGTCACCCAGGTACTACTCCATAGTAAGCACGTTTAATTTTGGAGTTTTGATGGATTCACGGCCATCACGTTAACCCTTTCCTAGGCGATGCGGGATCATGACACTCTGTAGTCTGCCAGTATGGTAACTCGTCCAGTGTCTCGCATCCGCCACATCACACCCGCCCACAGAGGTTGACACAACTATAGTCCTTTTTACTGTCCATTTATGGGGTTTACCATGGGACATATGAGATGAATATTCTGATCTCTGGAAACATTCCAGATGGATCTCGTTTTAATAAAGTTTATCAGGATATATAATTTTGTGCCTCATGAGCCAAAGCATTCTTTTCTCCATTTTTCTTGTCTTGGCTATGTCGGACGACAACACATTAAAATCAGACCGTTCCAAGGAAATTGATTGTCTTGCCCACTCATGTTTGTCTTCATTTTGATTTTCTTTCTTTTTTTCCACTTTGGCTTGTGAATTAAGATGCGTACTATTTTTTTAGTGGTTCTAGATCGATCTGTTTATTCTGAGCATATTTAAACTTATTTGAGATATTTCTTGTGATTTGTTCATTTTAATTTGGTTAGGGTTATTGTTTATTCGAAGTAGGGCAGGTCAAGCTTATAGGATTTATATGGGTTGGGGATGAATAAAGATAATGAAGCCTATCTCATGTGGGGGTCAGGGACATAAGCAAGGGTTTTCTTTTCTTGGTAGGGTTGGGGGGAGAGAGACCCATCTCATACCTGCCCTATTATCATTCCTAGATATTCTCTCTCTTCACTTCTCTTTTTGGTAGTTAATGCACTTCCCTTTATTGCCAATGGAGACTTGAACCCTCAGCCGCCCATGTCGGAGGAGATAGCATTGGAGCTAAATGTTTGGTGGTGCTTTCTTTTCTTCTAAGTCTTCCTTTTCTACCTTCTCCATTTCTATTATTATATTTGAGAGGTTTGGCACTCTACTTTGCGTCATCCTCATGAAGTAGAAGTGAAGTCCTAATAGGACACATGTTGAGGCAGTGAGAAAGGCGATCGAAAGCCTGATACTTCATGATGTAATCTCAAATATGGCCCTAAACTGCAGACTTAGTTAATCAAGATTTATGTCACCATGTCCAAATGGTTTGAATAGGTTTGTTTTAGCTTATTAGTTGAGGCATATCCATCTTTACATAGTAGGTCATTGTTAAGTGGCAGTCAGGAATTTAATTTAGTAGGGGCAACGCTGAACAATATCAATATAATTTTTATTTTTGTCCTCGACCAATATGTTTTGAACATTGTATGATAATTTCTTTTGATTTGAAATACTCCGTGTAAATTGCAAGACATTATCATAGTTTTAATTTTTTTAAAAACCAATTCTTAAAAAGACCAAGCTATTGATGTTAACAAAATATCGATGACTAACATTGAGGAGATGGAATTAGATGAGAGTTGTATAAAAGTGTTGTCCAAAGAGGGTTTTGAGATTTCTTACTTATCCAAAAAAAAAAAAAAAAAAAACAAAAAGAGGGTTTTGAGAGAAAGATAAGAAAAGTGTGGAAGGGATAAGATCCAAGCCCTTTTCTTTTAAAATTTGAAGTGGGGGCATTTTTATAATTTTGAAAGATTATATACAACAAAAGTAAGAAACAACAAAAGTTGACTCAACTCTATGTGGCCACACCACTGGTCATGCTATAGATGTTGGGATAGTCAGAAGACAACACTGCTAATACAGTTGTGACATGTAGCCTTCTCCAGGTTAGAGGCTTATGGTATTACCGTATGACATGTTAAATTTTGTCTGGTAATCGAAGCTTGCACGAATGTTTTTCGATTTGGAAGTCTGATAAATCATAAGAATGTAAATGCTGATATTTATCGGGTTACTTTAATTCAAGAGTAGAACTTCTGTGGTACTAGTTTAGGTTGTGGTGCACATAATAAGTTACTAGGTTGGGTTTCCTTCTCTCTAGGGCAATTCTACATGGCTGTTGCCTCTCAAGGTAGGTTTGTTGATAGGTATACAAGAACATTTGATTTCAATTTCAGGTCTTGAAAAGTGAAGTAATTTCTGGAAGTTTGAATTAAGTTTTGATTAAAGTGGTCTTGAAGAAAATTCAAAGAAAGGAAAGATGCTAAAAAACTGTTAGTGCTATATCTATGGGTATAGCATCAATGCACACTTTACACACACACACACACACACACACACACACACACACACACACACAGCTACAATTGAAATTAGAGTACGGTGTATTACAGTTTGAATTCTACAGTGATATGACAAACAGTTCACAAACAAATCAAGGGAACCTAACTAGTAGTCATGTCAGTTCTAATGATCTGCATATGTTCGCTAGAAAATCTTGGTTCTCATAATTTTTGTGATGGAATTATGTTATATGGACTCGGGTACGTGTGTCGGGTGCATATATGTATCCAAGCGTCGAACGTGGTAAATTCTCAACTAAAAGGACACATGGACATCGATTAATATTCATATTAATTAATATTTTAAGTTTATTTTGGAAAGTAATGTTTTTACGTTATGTAGTGTTCAATATAGGTTTTTCTTTCGTTTTGAAGTAATATATTAAAAATGAATGAATGGATATGTTTTTTAGGTGCATGTCCATGGGAAAGTGTCAGACACATATCCCATACCCACGTCCAAGTAATTGTGTGTGCGAACACAGGTACTTCACTTACTTTGGAAGAGTCTATGTAACATAGGATGGAAGGTGCAGAGACATGGTGTGACCATGGACGCGCGGGGGGGGGGGGGTTTGTGGGGGGTGGTGCGCAAAAGAATAGGTGGATGATAATTCCTCTGGTAGGCTTAACCAGTTTTTAAGCTAGTATTTTGTGCACAAAATAGAAGTTCTGTGTGGTGTAGTGGAGGAGTCTGGTATTTTCACCATAACTGCTTGATATAATGGTCTATCTGATGGTAAATTTTATCGCCTGGTATTAGAACTGTGCTTGAAGTGAATATCTGTGTGGCTATTTATTGAAGAAAAAAATGTCACTTCTATGCCTCCGGATTAACCAGTCCTTCTTCCCACTTTATTCTATAAATAGTGTCTTGCTTTATAAACCACCTCTCGCAACCATTACTGCTCTAGCCTTGCCCTAAGCTTATTATATGACAGTTTTCTCTTCAGGTGATGATAATGAAGCTGCACCAGGTCCCTTCCTTCAAGAGGAGATCTTGTCTTTGAAAGGCTTGGAACTAATCACTGAACAGGCTGAACCTGTGGAACCTGCCCAACCTGCACCAGAAACTGTAATAGCGAGTCCCTCCCCTGTTGTAAAAGAGCGAAAGCCAGCTGATAAGAAAGCAGTTAAGCCGAAGTGGCTGAAAATGTGATATGGATGACTACGTGTGAGCTCTTATTTCCTCTTTAGATATTTTTATCATGTTGTATTGGTATAGTTCTCTTGACCTTCAGCTAATTCCGATATCTCTCTGGTCGTACAGGTGGACTTCAACATTAACCTTCTCTTATGTGCAGTCTCGTATTTAAAAGTGGATTGAAGGCAGATGGAACAGGAGGAAGACATCTATGCTTGAATATGGTAAAATGCTTCAAGAGTTGGCAATCGTCATGTATTATTAATGCTATGAGTCAATGTTTATTATATATATGTATGAATTACCGATCTTCTGGATGGTATCGTAAATTCTTTTTTTATTAAATTGCTTTATTCTCTCTGTTGTACGTTTGATCGCGATTCTTGTGCTGTGGTTTTGTTTAAAACCTGCTGAAACTCACATCTTTGTAGTTTTTGTATGTGACCCCACGACTATAGTCACTGTCACATACAATCTCACATCTATTGGTCATTGGTATTCTTATTAAGAACCTTAAAATGGAAAAAATATACGGCACAAGCTTTGTGGGGACTGGAACTGCAATATTCATCTATTATTCTAAAAATCTTTCCCGAACCCTCGCCTTCCTTCCACCCTCCGGAACATATTATCAGAAAGGATAAGATGATTCCCAAATCTTGATAGAGTTGTGTGAAATCATAAATAATTGTTCTGTTTGGTTGAATTTTCTTCTGGCTATTTTTCCTCGTGGGTTGAACTCGGTGGCGTTTTCCTTTGTCTTCATGAATTGTGTGTGATAGTGAGAGTTATTTCCTGATTAAGCCAGTTCAAGTTATTTAGGAGCATGAAAAGTTTGTGCGCCAAAGTGACGCCAACGTTTGTTATGGTCAAAACTCGAAATATAAGGGTAAAGTACGAAAAAAAAAAAAATTCCCCTCCATGTTTGAATTTGCAAATTATCCCCTTGAAGTTATCTTCTGAAATATCAAATTTTGTTGCAAAAAGATTTTATTTTATTAAATGATGATAATGCTCTTTCTTATTGAAGTACACTTAATATATTTTTCTTATTGAAATAAATGATTGTTTTTTTATTTTTGCATAAATGTACCTTTAATTTTTGAAATGAATAAAAATTTTAAGTAGAAAATTTTAAACAATTTAATTATTTTCTTAACTTTTCATGAATATATTGCAGGAAAACGGATGTTTTTTTTATTTAAGTAATTTATTAATTTTTTTTTATCAATATATTGTATAAAAAAGAAAATCTTTTTCCATGATAAATTTTTTTAAACTGAATATAATAAGTTCTATTATAAATAATAAAATTTTAATAATAAGTTAATCATTTTAAAAAAGGGCCACTTTCAATTTTAGATCATAAAAACTCCAATCTATTTCTAAAAATCCCAATATTTTTAACTTATCAAAAAAAAATAAACCTAATATTTTTAAAAAGTTATCACATTGTCTCGATATTCAAGTCTGACTCGTTAACCAAGCTGTGAAATGACAAATTTGATCTTATCATTTAATGTTAAATTAAAAATAAAAAATTATTATTTTTTAAATTACAAAAATACCCTATCATTTTTATTACTGTGTTTGCATTCTTAATATATCCTCTGTAAGTTTGAGTTTGTCGATCCACTTTCTGATTCCTGAAGGGCAAAAGTGCAAACAACCCCCCTGAACTATCACGAATTGACATTTTACCCTACTGGATTACAAAAATGAATAAATCAGTACCACAACTATCCAAATCCGTGCAAGTTAACCCCTGAAGCTCAATTCTGGCCACTTTCCGGGCCACAAGTGCAGTCCTTCTCTTTTAATTCCAAAATTGCCCTGGAATACTCATTAATACTATTATTTATTTATTCATTTTCATTTTTACAATGAAGTCGGCCGGAAGTGCAGCACAGTGACCTGTCTTTTTCATTTGCCCCAATTACTCAACACCCAAACTTCTATTTTTTCAATCTCCGAATCAATTGAGTTGATTTTGTAATCCATATTCTTCAAGCTTTATGTGTGAAACTAAAATGGTAGTTGATGCAACTGAGTCGAAGATTACTGATGATCTGAGATGGAAACATTACTGATGATCTTTCATTTTACTTCAGTTCATCCAAAAGTGTTGTCCATCAAGCTCGAAAGATTTCTCGTTGTCTTAAGCCTCTGATGACCAGTGTTGGTTCAATCAAGGAATGCAAGAAAGAAAAAGCAAATGGAGAACCCAATTACTACGTATAATAAAACAAATTAGAATGGAGGATTGCAGAGGGTAATAACAAATAACAATTAAAAAGCTCAGGAAAAGAAAATAAAAAAGCAAAAAAGAATGGATGGTTATAGAAGAGAGAGATTTTAGAGAGAGAGAGATGTTGTGGGTTGTTCATCATCTTCTTCCTAAATGAAAGCAAACTCGTGTATGGGGGGGAACATTTCTGATTTAGCTTCTTCTAATGTTGGGTACCCCCAAAATCTCCCACTCATCTAAACATCATCTCTTATTTGATATGTGCAATTTTCAGCCACCATTGTCGCCGAAGACGATCCAGAGGGGCTCCGTCTGGATCATGGCGTGTCGGAGGGTCCGTAAGTGAATCGGTTGTCGGCCGCTTGGGTCAAAACCGATAAAGCCAGCCGACCAATTCTTGCCTGCCGGTGCCGCGACGCGAGTTCATCACAGCCAAACTCACCACCGAGAAACCCACAGCCGAGTTCTCCTTGCTCGCTGGTGTCCCACCGTAAGGTCACAACCGACCTATCCACAGCCCATCGCCAGCCCATGCTGCCATCGTCATAGCTGCACCAGCCGGCCGAACCAGTCCTCTCCACAGCCTATCGCCAGCCCATGTCGTCATCGCCATCGCTGCACCAGCCGGTTGAACCAAGAATCCTTGCTTGAAATTGCACATCACCGATTCAGTCTCGCCGTCACTATCATCGTTCTTCGCTGGATTCTCAGCAATCAACATATTTCTCGGATGGCCATCATCCACAGCTATGGTGACACCCTCGGAAACAAATCTAACAATCAACAATCTCTGTTTCCGCAGCCTCCGATACGATTGAGACCATCCTCTGAAGCCGATCAGATTTGCTGACGAATAGAGAGGGTTACAACACTTAGGCAAAGTTTGGGTCACATGAGGGGCATGGTATTTCACTCTGATTATTTATTTTCGTATTTTTTTTTCTTAATTACAATGGGTAGTTTTGTAAATCTACAATGAAATCGGTCGAAAAGTCACCGGAATTGAGCTTCAGTGGTTAACTTGCACGGATTTGGATAGTTGTGGTACTGATTTGTTCATTTTTGTAATTCAGAGGATAAAATGTCGATTTGTGATAGTTCAGAAGAGTTGTTTGCACTTTTGCCTTCTTGAAAAGAAGAACAGGGGAACAGGTATGTAGAAAAGAAAGCTTCTCTGTTAGATTTCAATATTGTACCCCCTATCCTAGTATACTTACGAGCTGACCTAGTACGCTGAACGATTACACAATCTTGATGAAAAGGCTTACGACCTGGGAATTGAAAAGGGAATTGCCTTATTTACTAGCCCATTAAAATGAAAGAACTTCTTAATATGCATTTCTATGAGAATTCTATTTTTCTTATCTCAACAAAGTTATTTTTTGGCTTTGAGAAGAGGTTCTATATCCTTAAATTCCAAACCCTTTCTGGTATCAAAAAATGAATTATTTTTTCCTAATTTGTGAAATTGGATTATGGTCTGAATAACCATTGATATAGCGCTGCGTTTGGACTATGGGTCACTTCGGTGGAAATCTTGAGTCGCAAACTGCAACATAAGGCTTGAGAGAAGGACGGGGATGGTCCCTGTCAGAGAATCCAGATCGCTGTCTAGCGATTTAGTGGCAGCGAACAGATGGGCAGCGACCCATTTCGGGTCGATTCATGGTTCCAAGTGGTTGATTCATGGTTCAAGGTGGTCGATTCATGGTTCCAGGTCACTGCCTTATGCAACAACAGATTATATTCAGTACGGTAACTCCACGCCGGGGTAAAGACTTCGGCAACAAGTTGTCGGCAAGGAAGAAGAATAGTAAAAATAAAAGGGTATTTTTATAAATTTAAAAATAATTTTTAATAGTAAGGTGAAATTTGTCATTTCACAACTCGGTTAACGGGTCAGGCACAAATATTGAGCCAATGTAATAACTTTTTAAAAATATTGAAGTTTTATAATAAAAAATTGAAAATAATGAGAGTTTTATAATTTAAGTCCTATTTTGCCATATATTTATTTTTAATTACAATAAATCTATAGTTTAAAGTGATAATTTATAATTTAGAGATTATTTCCAAAAAATATAATCAAATATCAATAGCAAGAAGAAGGAACCTTGGCATAATATTGAATTCAATCTTACACCTCTAAAAGGATCACAAGAAGTTGTTTGTCTGAGTCTAAACCCGTGGGTGTAAGTGCTCGAGGAAGGTGACATTCAAGTTACATTAGGTTGAAGACATTACTGAAATATAGGATGGAAAAGGAATCATTATGAAATACTCCATAAGAAGGGTTTCTTTGTTATTTTATTTTATAATTTTATCATATATGAATATAATATATTATTATATTATAAAAAATCGTATATTAATATAATATAAAATACATTAGTTTGTTGATGAGTTAGATAGTTCAGTTAGTAGAAGTACTCTTTTAACAGTATGAGATTCTAGGTTCTTGCATACAATTTTATCAATAATATACTTTAATTTTTTTTTTCAATTTTAATGATAAATTAGTGCCATTTACATATAGATTTTTGAATTTTAAAATGATAAAGTATGGTAATAAAATTTGCCATTGAAATTTCAAAATGTTTTTAAGATGGAAGAATTATATTTTGCATTTTCTTCAAACGATCAATTTTTTATTTTATTTTATTGTATTTTATTGGGATCAAATATATTTCTGTATATATGCCCTCTTAACAAGATAAATCTTCTTTTTAAAGAATTGGATAAGTGTAATCATGCAATTTCCTAACTTGATATGTTATTGCTGTAATGGCAATATCCACTTTAAGGATCCCCATTCCACCAGCGGGTCTAACCATATTCGGATTGAATTAGGTGAACAATTGAGTTCTATCAAGTTAACCAAAAAAAAAAAAAAATGAATGGGTAAATTTGTCCTTTCACATGTAAAAGTTTGGATCAATGTCTTGCTGAATGTTACACGTGGCATAATGAAATCACCATACTCGTCGACAGCCCACAAATAAGAGTCATTTTTTCAACAAATCGATGGTTAGCATTGCACAATCAAACCCATCTATAAATTCTCGCCACCACGTGTACCGCAACCATTCGTTGTATCTCGAATCTCTCCTCATCCCTCAAGACCCACATCTCACTGGAAGTCCATTAGTCCGCATAAACGTCCTCCCTCTTCTTCTCCGTCCTCATCCCTCAACCTCTCTCTCTTTCTATCTATTTATGTTATAATTTATACACACACATTTCATATGCACACATATTGAGATTTCTTGCTTTATCCACTTTCATATCTTATTATCAACAGTCTTAACTGCAAACGACAGTGGGCGGGATCAATCTGTGAATTCGAAAAATAGGGTTTTTGTTCATCACTTCACTGCTAGGTTTCACATGCTCACTCAACCTCATATTGCATCCACCGAGCGGTGAGAGTGACCGAGACATGTATTTGTCTGAGAACCCTCGTCCAATTGATTTCTACAAAGGAATAGGAGGAGAGAGAGACATGGTGATCCAAGTCTCCTCCAATGGCGAACTGCCACCTTATCATCAACAGCAACAGCAGCAGATTATTCTCGGAGAGAGCAGTGGTGAGGACATCGAACTGAAAGCACCGAAGAGAAGAGCAGAGACTTGGGTTCAGGAAGAGATTCGAAGTCTCATCAGTTTTCGCCGCGAAGTGGATGGACTTTTCAACACTTCGAAGTCGAACAAGCATTTGTGGGAACAGATCTCCGGGAAGATGAGAGAGAGAGGGTTTGATCGGTCGCCGACTATGTGTACGGACAAGTGGAGAAACCTTTTGAAGGAGTTCAAGAAGTCCAAGCAACGAGATAGGGGCAGTGGTTGTGCCAAATTGTCGTATTATAAGGAGCTTGCGGAGTTGCTCAGAGATAGGGACAAGAATGGTTGTTCTTATAAGAGCCCCAATTCTTCAAAGGTCGATTCCTATATTCAGTTCTCGGATAAAGGTAGTTGCTCCTACTTTTAATTGGCTTTGTGTTTGTGGTTTTATTTTCTTTAATAGATTGTGAATTGTGATATTTTGACACCCTCCCATTTGAGGATACAATGCTAGGTTGCAAAATGAAGAGTTTAGAATTACACTCGATACTGTTTGGTTATCTTTTTTGGAGATGCATTTCTTTCTTTTTGGTTGCCACAAGAAAAAGCGATATTTTTCTTTTCAAGGTGAAAAACCAACTACCATTTTCCAAACAAAGCAATACTGAGATTTCACTTTATTGGGTAAATTCCACATTGACTTATTATTGTTCTTATTTTGTTGTCCAATGGATTTGCATGGTGGATTGCTTTAGGTGTCTATTCTGGTTTTGGTGTGAACAATTCTAGTTGGGGTTTGGGTTTTCTTTCTCACGATAAAGCTAGATTTTCCTCATAAAGTTGGTAGACTTTTTTCTAGTTTGTCTCCCATCACGTTTCTTCAAAACTTGAGCTTTCATGGGAAACATTTACTTTTCACTATCCTTTTATCCCTCATCCTATCCAGTTTGAGGGCTTAAGTGTTCAGTTGAATTCAGCTTGCATCTAATCTACTCATTCTCTCACTAGCTTCTACTCATTGCAGATATGAATATGTATGGGTACCTAATTGTTATCTACTTAACCCATAACTACCAGATGCTTTCCCTGATTTCATTTCATGCTTTAATTGTTGACACTGTAAGAAGCACGAAATGCCGCTTCTCTTAATTTTATCACTTCTCATATTTGTACTTGTGAAAATAGATTTCTTTTGCAACAAGCATAACTGCTCTCATAGGTATTCGAATTATGAATAGTATGGTTCCTTCATAGCAGAAAACAAGTAACTTTGCAACAAGCATAACTGCTTTCTGTTCCTATAGTGATGGCATGGACGTTAATTATAATAACTGATTGATTGGTTACTCATTTTCAGGTCTTGAGGATGGCAGTATCCCATTTGGATCCGTGGAAGGTACTTTGCTACTAGAGTAGTAACTTAGTCTAACATTTCCATCGGAAATTTTCAAGTAAGAATGCATGATTTGTTCAATTGTTTGCTTCTAGAGTGATTTTTTTTCCATTTGACATATGCTAGATCTCTGTCATCCCAAGACACCACAAATATTTTTAATTCCTACTTTACAGAATCATTAACTGTGCGGATATGATATGTAGTGCAAGTTCTATTTACCAGCTCGTTGCAAATGTTAATGAACTACTTGTATATCCAAATAAATATTTGGTGTATCAGTTCATCTATTAGTAATTTAGCATCAACAAGGAAATTACATGCTGCTCAAAAATAGAAGAAAAAGGAGGCTTTGGTCTGCTATACGTAGTGCGTGTTTCTTACTTGGACCAAATCAAGTCGTCATATCCATTTTGGCATGCTATTCTACTTCCTTCCTGCTCCTTTTTTACAGCTAGTCTGGCAGTTATTTCAGGGTTTCTTTGTGTAAATTGGAATATCTGGTCAACAGTGGGACAGCTTCATTAATTGTGTTGCCAAATTCTCGGGCTAATTTCAAGAATCTGGCCAAGTCTTCTGACAAATCATTTGCTTAAATTAAGTTTTCTCTACTTTGTTGTTCAATTGTCACACCACAATAATGTTGAGCATCAGCTGATAATTGGCAACAAATTTTTAATTCTCATATTTGAGGAAAACATGTGATTTTTTATTTTCGAAAAAAGAAAAATCAATGCTGGATTTTCTTTCATGCGAGTTAAAAATTTCTAATAGTGTCATGATCATAACAATGCCTCTGAGATGTCTTTAGCTCTAGGAGCCTTATTGTGAAGCTTATATATAATCAGATAATCTGGAAACTACTTTCGTGATTCGAGTCGGGGAAGTTTCCCTATTCGGGTCTCCCAACGAAGCCAACATAAATCCTATCGGAATAAAAAACCGCTCTTTTTTCACCAAAGATGTGAAGTCAATGTTGGATTTTCTTTCATGCGACTTAAAAAAATTCTAATAGTGTCATTATCGTAACAACACCTCTGAGATGTCTTTAGCTCTAGGTGCCTTATTTTGAAGATTATATTTAATCAGATCATCTGGAAATTACGAGGCTTCGTAAGAGTTGGCATACTCATCGTACGGTTCGTACCTCCTAAAATATAAAATTCTAGAAGTGTTATGATCATAACAAGACCTCTGAGATGTCTTTAGCTCTAGTTGCCTTATTGTGAAGTTTATCAGATCATCTGGAAACTACGAGGCTTTCATAAGAGTTGGCATACTCATCATGCCTCCTATAATATAAAATATACGTGCGTAGGTTCTTATGGTCAATAAAAGAATCTCTTTGTTACTTTATTCATTTTTTTCCCATGTGGAATCTAGTTGATAGTAATGATCACAAGCAGTTTAACAATAAGTTTGTCTTCGCTTTGATGCTTATTGTTTAGGGTCAGAACTTGACATATAAGATCTGCCCTTTTATTGCCAACTGTTTGTAACTACACATGATATTCTGTTAAGGCACTTATGTTTGGCTTTTGGGTAAGTTAATAAACCTTAATTAGTAAGGACTATTTAATCAATTACTCGGGTGTTCTTCATTGTCCTAAAGTGTTCTGATTGTTACTTCACTATTATCTGAAACTGTTCTTGGGGATATGTCCCAGAGCTATTACTTGTTTTTATTTATTTATTATTATTATTATTTAATTTCTGTATGTATGCGTGTGATCTTGTACAAATTCTACCAAAAAACAATTGTTTAACTTCTCCTAAAATCTTCCTTGCCATCGAAACATCAAATGTTCACACTTTGTCAGTCAGAACGATTAACATAGGTGATCCGAAGTTTATGTAGTAGTTTTAGTTCAATGTTCTGTGTTGAGGGTATAACTGAGGCAGTTTGGATAAATTTTTTTCTGAGAAGGGAGGTGGTGGAAAATGATTTTATAATGCAGATACCTGTGGGGACCAGTGTTTGTGAGTCCTTTCACTCACATTGTTGTGTATTTTCCAAATTAAAATAGTTGCAATTTTTTTCTAAAGAAGGCAACTTTGGCGTTGGATTATTACGTAGCATCTTCTCGTCAGCCAGTCATTAGTTCCTTTATTTTTTCCAAAAAAAAAATAGAAAAAATGTAACTTTCTAATTAAGCTTTTGGTTGGTATACAGCTAGTGGCCGGTCAACAGTCAACCCTGAAAGGCCTTTGGATCATGATGGTGATCCTCTTGCCATTACTGCAGCTGATGCAGTTGCTGCTAGTGGAGTTCCCCCTTGGAACTGGAGGGAGACCCCTGGAAGTGGTATGTTTGAAATAAAAATGGCGACATTCATTTTATTAGATTTTTTACGTAAATTATAACACTATTTATACATATTTATGTATAGAGTTGTGCTTCTTGGATGCAATTTCAAGGGAGAATGACTTTGATATTCACTAATCACCATAAAGTTCTTTTGTATTTTCTTTTTCTTTTTGGGGTTTATTTGAGAACAGCTACTGAGTTCTTTAATTTTTGACATTAAATCTTTTGGGCTTGAACTCTCAATTCCAAACATGATATCCTTCCAGATGAGGCACACATAATTTTTGGAATCTTTTGCTCATATCTTCTGTGTGTCTTACAATATCTAACATGGCACTTTGCAGTACTACTTTGGAAGTTATCAAGATTTAAATTTAAAACAAAGAATACTCTCAGAAGGTACTGTTCTCTGATACGTAATTGCATTCTGCCCAAAATAGATGTGGTAATTTCAGTAACAATATAGGAAGGACGGGCTGCTCAAAATAGTTTGAGGCCTTGGGCAATTTTTTATTTTTATTTTTTATTTTTATATAAAAGTGGCCTTTTAATATGTAATATATTAATATCAATTAATAGTTAATAATGTTTATTTGAAAATTATTCTTCTGGTTTTTTAATTGAAAAGGAGATAAATTGCTATAATAAAATTCTAGTAAAATTTCCAAATAATAAATGTTAGACCCCTCCCAATAATAGAGATTTAATAGTAAAAAATTGTTTCATCCTTGAAGAGTCTCAAAATACCAAAATATATGAGAGAATAAAAGTGAGTTAAAATCAAGTAAGATAGTGAGATTGTAATGAGTGGAGAAGAGGAAAAGCCTTTTAATGAAAGAGGAGAAAGATGGAGAGTTTGTAATGAGATTATGAGTGGAGGATAGAAACAGACATTGTAACGAGTGAGGAATAGGGGGGGAAAAAGTTAATGGGAGAAGATGGAAGATAGAAATTTTGGGTAATGATAGAGGAGTGAAAAACGTGGAATGGAGGTGAGATAAAAGATAGAAATTAGGAATTTTAATAGAAAGTGGAATGAAAATTTTTAGAATGAATTAAATACTTTGGCCACTATTAAATCTCTACTATTGGATGCGGTCTAATAATATAAGGATATAAAAGGGGTCTAATAATATAAGAAAATAAAAAATTTAGGCAGTTCAATAATATAAGGAATAAAATTTTAGGGGCCTTCTATTAGCTGGGGCCTAAGGCCACGCCTAAGTCGCCTAAGGCTCCAGTCGGTCCTGAGGATGGATTATGTATATGATACATGTTCTCATTACTGAATGTGTCAGCCTTCTTTTCTCTTGGTGTTTTGACAGCGGTACCATTCAAATTGTAAATGATGTTGCGATAACCAAGCAAATTGTGTACTGAATTGTCATGAACAAAGCGAATCCCATACTGAATTGTAGGCTGTAGCAACCAATAGAAGACATTATTCCTTGAAAGAAGACATTTTATTCCTCTTGTATATATCACTATGTTACATTATTTTTTTTAATATAAAGGCTATAGATTTAAGGAACTCAATTCTTGGGCAACCTTTATCATTGATGAAAAACTTTATCAGTGAAATTTTGAAGTTCATTAGGTTGGTTATTTCATTTGCATGCTTAGTATATATAGAAACCACAGGTAGTAAAACTTGAGCTATTATTTCCTTACATTCCCTATCACATGGCTAAAATTGAACACCCTGGTTGTCTGCAGCAGTTCACTGGATTATTTGGCAATTGTTTATTCCATACTCCCTTCTACTCTCTATAAATTTGGAGCGATTATTGGATGTGCGACTTTTAATCTTGCTTTTCCAAATTCACTTCTTTCATTTGAATATGTAATTATATTTTTTAATTTTTCATGGCAGGTGGTGAGGGCCACTCTTCTTATGTTGGGAGGGTCATAACAGTCAAGTGGGGGCAATACACTAGAAGGATTGGTATTGATGGAACTGCGGATGCAATTAAGGAGGCAATTAAGTCAGCTTTTAGATTACGAACTAAACGGGCATTTTGGTTAGAGGATGAAGATAATATCATCCGGAGTCTGGACAGGGACATGCCCTTGGGCAATTACATTCTTCAGGTCGATGAAGGTACAAGGAACTGTAAAATGAAATATTATTGCATACCTGAACATCTGGACCTTGTTTATTGGAGATTTTGTTTAAGCAAGACCTTTTTTTATTTTTTTACTTCTTTGACAGGGATCTCCATAAAAGTTTGCCTCTATGATGAGCCTGACCACATGGCTGTTCATGCTGAAGACAAAACGTTTTATACTGAAGAAGATTTTCGTGATTTTCTCTCTCGCCATGGCTTGATAGGTTTAAGAGAAATAAAGGGCTACAGATGCTTTGATAATTTGGACGATCTGCGCCCCAGTGCAATCTACCAGGGGGTGAGACTTCTGGGGGAGTAGAGTTTTGTTTCCTAGTAGCCTAAGGCTTAATTTAAACTATCATTTGATTTTTCCCCATCAGTGAAAAGTCGAAGCATGAACTGTCGCTCACTTTGTTTTCCTAAAGTTGTATAGTCCAAAGTTCCAAAATACCATCCATTCATGGTTATGTTGTATTCTTTCTAGCATTTTGCCATGAACAAAATGGGAAAAAAGGGTGGAAAAACAGGGGTTAAATTGTTTGCAGTAGACAAAATATAATCAAAATGCTTGTCTTAATTGTTTGAATACATATTTGAGAATAGATGCGAAAAGATAGTTCACCTTTTGGGGAGATTGTTTTAACCTAAAATATTTCAAAGTTAAAGCTCCTATATCAGTGTGCTGTTGTTTAATTTGGATTCGAATTTCAACTGCTGGTAACAATAGCAGTGAAGATATCGCTACTTAAAAGATGCATCTGTCACGGACTACAACTATATGAAACCCCCAGCTCAACCAAACTTTCAACCTGAGATCATCTCAAAGCCTTTGTTTGGTAGGTGAGAGGAATAGGAAAGAAGGGAGAATAGTTCAGAGATTTTTGTTTGGTAGATAGGGACAGAGAAAAGGAAGAAGGATTATCTGGTACAAGAGGGAGAGACAATGAAACAAAGCAAAGATGGATGAGTAATTCTTGAACAAAAACAATTTATATTTCATCATTTTTGGAGTGAAGAAGGCAAAACGGTGGTCAGGATAGATGGCCATTCGTCATTCTTTCCTTTCTTTAAACATTCTCTGGTACCAAACAATGGAAATTTAATCCATCCTTTCTCCTCTTCCCCCCTCCTCTCCTTATCCTTCCTTTCAACCAAACCAAGCCCATGTGTCCAAGTAATTTGACCTTTTTCACCAAATCTAGATCGCTCGTCCGTGAATCCACCAATATTAGGATAAATAATCACGTGACACGGTCATCTTATTCAACGGTGATGCAGCCACCTCACTAATCATACTCCTCACATGGTCCGATCCCTTAAAATGCTCACAGCCATCAACTCAGTGGTCCCACTTCACCCTTTTTTTTTTTTTAACCAATTCTAAGCTGTCCATCTTGTGATTCCACTTCAATCATATCACAAAGTCATTGGATTCAACGGTGATGCTTCCAACTTTCTCCCCATACATCCTCATCGACTAAGTGGTCCCACTTCTTCAAACATTGAAAAATCCGCCCCCAATCGCCGTACTACATTTTTTTGCAGATCATAACGCCACCAAACCCTTGTATGTGTCCCTAGTCCCACACATATATGTTACTGTATATTACACATATATTGTTATATAAATATACACCCTAGTATTGGATCCATTTTCATCGGTATACTAGTTCTCTCTTCTATCTTCCTCAAACTGTATCACATTCATTAGACCATAATGGGCAAAATCAAGATTGGAATCAATGGTATTTGATCTATATAGTGTTCTCATTTGATTATTTACTATTATTGATCGTTCTGATTTTTCATTTTTGACATGATATATTTTTTTGTTTGTTATGATGATGGTGTATAGGATTTGGAAGGATTGGTCGTTTGGTGGCGAGGGTTGCTCTCCAGAGTGATGATGTTGAACTCGTCGCTGTTAATGATCCATTCATAACCACTGATTACATGGTAAAACCTGTTGATCTCGTATGCATGGCATTACATTCTGTGTACTGAAATATCACCTTCTTGTTTGTTTACTTGTTTTTGAACTTTTGATTGGTTTTACTCTCTAGAAATGCATCATTCCTATGCTTTGGAACTTCTGATTTGAACTTAAACACTGCTTTTGATCTGATCTGATCTGTTTCTTAGTGCGGATTTGTGATGATCTGTTTCTGTTGGTGTTTAGTGATTAGTGAAGTAAGTTTCTGAGGAATGTATATGCGATGATGTGTATAATGCATGATGTATGTACTATGTATATGTATAAATAGCTATATACATACATATATGTGTTTGTGTGTGTATATATATGCACATGCCTCTTACATAGAGTGAGCATGTATGCCTTTTATATTCTGATTAAAATATCCATCCAAGAAATGGAAATGAATGAGCAAGAAGAGTTCTGTTAAACTATTTAAGTTTTATGTTTTTGGTATTTTATCTATGTGCGTGTACACACACACACACACACACACACACACACGTAGTACAAAACAGCAAAGGACCTTTACTAAATGTTTTTTTTTTTTTTTTTCTTTTTCAGTAGTTATCTAGGTTACTGTACAGTAGTTTTACTTTATTGCAGATTTTTGCTCTTGTAATTGTGGATTATAATTATGAAAAATCTTTTTTTTTTTTGTTACTAATTAAAATTATGAAAATTCTTGTATGAAATGCCTTTTGCTCTTCTTTTTAGTAAGCATGTTTTATCAGATGTTAAGCATCTTGAATTTCATGTTGTATGTCAAGTGCATGATGCTTATTTATTTGTTATTTACTGTGATTGTGATGTTGTGCTATACAGACCTACATGTTTAAATACGACAGTGTTCATGGCCAATGGAAAAAACATGAGATTAAGGTTAAGGATTCTAAAACCCTTCTCTTTGGTGAGAAAGCTGTTACAGTCTTTGGTGTGAGGTATGAATTGATTCTTCTACTTCCTAATTCACTGTTTCTGAAAATTGGAGATACCTGATCACTAACATTATTTGGTTTGTTGTTTAGGAACCCCGAGGAGATCCCATGGGGTGAGGCTGGAGCTGAATATGTCATTGAATCCACAGGAGTTTTTACTGATAAGGACAAAGCTGCTGCTCACTTGAAGGTTTGTGTAAAATTGAATATTTGCTGCTTCTTCTATTGATTAATGCGATTTATTCCTATTCTGACTATTTGGTTTGTTTCAGGGTGGTGCTAAGAAGGTTATAATTTCTGCTCCAAGCAAGGACGCTCCCATGTTTGTTATGGGTGTCAACGAGAAGGAATATAAGCCAGATATTAACATAGTCTCGAATGCTAGTTGCACTACCAATTGTCTCGCTCCATTGGCAAAGGTTTGTATTGAGTTGATTCAGGCCATTATGGGAAAATTTAAGTTTTATTACTTGAAGGAGAATTTGAACTGATAATCTGATGCTTCTGGAATATATATTTTAACAGGTTCTCAATGATCGATTTGGCATTGTTGAGGGTCTTATGACCACTGTCCACTCTATTACTGGTAATTATATCATCATTTTTCATTCTTCCTGTTGTGAGATCTAAAATGTTTTTTTGATTAATTGTTTTATGTCATTCAGCCACACAAAAGACTGTTGATGGTCCATCCATGAAGGACTGGAGAGGTGGAAGAGCGGCTTCTTTCAACATCATTCCTAGCAGTACTGGCGCTGCCAAGGTATTACAACTTGCATTCAATGATTGAATTTATGTTTGCTTTCTATTAGTTTGTTGGTAGTAACATTTGTTGAATATTTCACTTTGCGACTTATGTAACATTTCCTTCTGTTTTTTTTGGAACTGGCAAATCAGATCGAACTGGACCGTACGGTTTGGTTAGTTCCTATGATGGAATGGTTCGGTTCTGGTTCTAAAAATTAAAGAACTATTGATATTTAAGATAAAAAGGGACCGAACTGAACTGCTTGTGACGTGTAAATATATATAATTTATAACACACATGTTCCATTTTTATTGGTTGAGAACATTACTTACCTTACACCACAATACATAGGATAATCTCACACACATTCACACACACATATATATGTATATAAGTCCAAAACCGTAGAACCAAACTGAACTGTAACCAGTCATTTACAGTTTGGTTTGGTTCCATTGGTTCTAACAGTTCGGTTTGGTTTTGGCTCATCTTAAGCCCTATCCAAATAAATAAAAGAAAAGGCAGTTTCATTATGGTGGTATACTAGCTGCCTGTTCTGGAACTTTGTCACGATCCAAATCCATAGCGGTCCGTGAACAGGAAATGAATAGACCTAGTCCTTAGGCACCCCATTGGACCCAAGTATGGTCACCTAAAACTGCTAGAGGTACATTTGCATCCTTTTACATGCCCAAGTCTCACATACACCAAAGGGCACAAAAATGAAAGAGTAGTTCCAATAGATACATACCAAAATACATAAGAGCCACCAATATGAACATGGTTACAATAGCTAACCCATTCTGGAACAAATATACATCAAGTTTGGCATAGATATATATTGAACATTTTGACAAAATAGCCAACTATACATGCTAGAGGTAGCAAAATGATGTCCAAAAGCTACCCCAAGCATCTCTAAATTTGTGGTTTTGGAGTCTCCTCCACTTCCTTCCGTTACCTGAAAATGTTAAGGGGTGAGCAAAGTGGCTAACACACACTTCCAATAGCCACTTGAGTAAGACAACAAGAGAAGGGGAGTGCAGGAGAGGGGATCATGCTTTAGAAGGGAAAAAGTATTGATTCAAACAGTGGAAGAATTCGGACAGCAGTTACTGTCGAATTTTTAGAAAAATAATTATGTGTCCTAAAATCATCACATTTTTTGGAGATTGACTAGACTCACAGCAGAAGTTCCACTAAAAATTGTGGCAGTTGGAGCAACACAGCCCCTAAACTTGATAGTTTTATTTTTTTATTTTTTTTATTTTAATTGTTTTGTGGTAAGTGTCTCCCTCACTTAAAAATTTACTTCATACTTAAAGAACACATTTTGTAAGTGGTACCCATATTACGTTATTAAACACACTGAATTAAATAAGTACTTAAATTATTCATAAGTGCTGAATTTGATTATCAAACAACACCTCGTATAGTTTAGTTTTTTAGCAATAGAAATTGTGCTCTCAGTACTAACAACCCCTGCACTCCTGTAGGTGGCTTCCCAATTTTAACTGGTTATAACATAATCAATTTTATTTTTTAAGTGAATTTTGTTTTTTATGACTTAGTTATGTTTTCCATGCAACATGATTAACAAGTGTTTGTTTCTGTCACTGTGAAGGCTGTGGGGAAAGTTCTGCCCGCATTGAACGGAAAGCTGACTGGGATGGCTTTCCGTGTTCCCACTGTTGATGTCTCAGTGGTGGATCTCACTGCAAGGCTTGAGAAGAAGGCCTCTTATGATGAGATCAAAGCTGCTATCAAGTAAGTATCACGACTAAATATTAAAGCTTCTCTTGTAAGATAAGCAAGGATATGTTACCATATTCAATTTGTGTCATTTTGGTATAAAATTAAATATATTTGTGGCATTTTGGTATAAGGTAGATGCTTACTCCTTTGGTGCTCTTGAATATTAGTTATAAGGTTTGGATGATAAAAAAAGTAATAAAAGAAAAAGAAACAATTGGAAAAGAAAAAGACATGTTTGGTAGCATTATAATTCCCCTTTTCATGTACTGATTCATCCACCAATTCTTTTTGTTGTTGTCGTGTAGGGAGGAGTCAGAGGGTAAATTGAAGGGAATTCTTGGTTACACTGAGGATGATGTAGTCTCAACCGACTTTGTTGGTGATAGCAGGTGGGGTAATTTTATTTTTATTTTTATTTTTAATTCTTGCAGATGATTTCCTTCTCATTTCATTTGGTTTTCTGTCATCACTTGCAGTTTTATTCATAAGCGTCCGTGGTCGATGCTTTTCTTTTTGTTTGGTTTAGCTTAGCATTGACTACGAAATGTGCCTCTCAAAATTTCATCTCTCTTTTTTTTTTTTTTTTTTTTTATTTCTTTTTTGAAGTTTTTCCTTTTTTTTTTTTTTTTTAACTTCCAATTAGATATGGTTACAATGCTGTTATAGCACCCTTTTTCTTTCTTGTGTCATAGAAATTCACTTTGTGTTCTCTTGCACTTTGGCAGGTCAAGCATCTTTGATGCCAAGGCTGGTATTGCTTTGAATGATAACTTTGTGAAGGTTGTCTCCTGGTATGACAATGAATGGGGTTACAGGTAAGCACTATGAGTGTGATTTTCTTAATACTTACTGTGAATTTTAGTTTAGTTAATTATCAATTTAGATTAGTGTCTATGTTATTAGAGTAGGTCCCTTATCATTTGCCTTTGGTTAGTTAATGTGTGTCAACCAGAACTTCATATTCGCCTCCGTGGAGCTTTTCAAGTGTTCTAATTTTAGCAACCTCAAACACTTGTTCATAACCTCGTCTTTATCTTGATTATGTCATGATGATTTTAGTTTAAAAGTACGATTTGTTTAACTTATTTTGTGGCACAACCATTTATAGATTATAACTCAACTTAACAAAGCCTTTCTCCAACTACTTGGTTTAGGATACTTGAATCCTTTTTTTCCTTTCCATTTTTCTCTTTAGGATTCATGTTCATCGGTCTTGACAAAAGACCCTGGCTGTCAGTCAAGCTACTGCCCCTGGTAAAGTACCAACTATCTAGGGCTGCAAAGGCACTGGCTTATCAGACAATGGTTTGGTTCATGTTGTTTGTTTAGTAAACTTACCGAGGTGAAATAATTAATTGGGCTTGTTCATTAAATGAGCCGAGCTTAAACATTTTCCTGCTTGGCTTGTTTGTTTTTGAACAAGCTCGCTTAAAGTCTTGTTTTGAGATATAACATATATTTACACCACAATTTCATATTTCTGTAAGTTTCTATTAAATTTAACCACAGATAAATCCCAAGCCCAATTACCCCACCCAACCCAATTTATGTTCTCCCTTTGGAAAAAAAAAAAACAGCCCTAGCCCAATACTTTCCTCGATCCCATTCTTATAAACTTAACTAAAACCCTGAACCTTTTTTTATTCTCCTCTTCTATTTATACAATTTGTGAGTCTTTGAGACTCTTCCAAACTTGAACGAGATAGCTTCCACAAGGTTGCAAACAATTTTACCCATCTCCTGTGCAACTGCCAAGAGTTTATCTTCACTTCCTCTTTCTACCTCACTCCTTTTCTTTTCATCTCTCCTTCTCTCAAAATGTTCTTGATAGGTTAGGGTTTCTATTTTCTTTCTAGGATCTGTCTTTCAAGTCTTAGTGAAATTTGTTCACAGAATTTAACATCGACTCAAACCTGATCTTGAAATCAAGCTTGAGTCCGAGCTTGATCACAAGTTTGAACTCGGTTTGCGAAATCAAATGAGCTCGTCGAGCGAGCTCGAACGCAGTTGTGTCATTTTGATTCGAGCTCAAGTTGAGTTCAAACACTTTGTAATATGACCAACCTGAGCTCAAACAGTCCCCTACTTGGCTCGGCTCATTTACAGCCCTAATTGTTAGTATTGGTTCATCGTATTTCATATAATTACCTCTGTCGTGACAGTTATAATGGTTTTTAGGAATTTTTAATTGTACTGCTGTAAATGGTTGTGGCTCCCTTTAAAGTTGACACTTGACAGTATAGGAACTAAGACTGCTTTTTTCACCCATACACTTGATCTTGTTTGGTGGGATGTTGATCAATATGTTGCAAGTTATTGTTGTTTGGTTTCCACTAAATTTATTTATTTATTTTTCCCTGTAATACATTGACATGGTTCGTCTGTGTTGCAGTAACCGTGTGGTTGACTTGGCACGTCACATGGCCTCTACTAAATAAGCTGTTTTTGTGCCAATCAAATGCTGCGGATCATCATCGTCTCTTAGGCTTTAGTATGCTGTTTGGAATAATTTTGTGTTGGAATGATACCATTTGAGACTGGTTTATAAAAGCATGAGGTTTTTGAGCCTTTGTTTGTTCATGCAAATCGGGATTCTGTTATGCCTTGTACTTTTGGTGTTAAGCCAACCTTGAGGTCATTTGAGTAATAATCTATCTTTTTAGTTGTTCCCCCCTCGTTAGATTTCTTGAAATAGTGGTTTATTTTGTGCTGTGGTCGTGATTGTGGAAATTGGATTGTGCTTTTGCTGTTTAAACTAAACCAAGTTTCAGGTGTTCGGGCTCGGGTGCACAACTCAGGGGTTGTCTTTAAGCTTTACGAAGTTTTAGTAACAAAAATAGGCTCAATTTGGAAGCTAAAGTATTATTATTATTATTATTCAGGTCTTCTGGCTTGATATTAGATGTTCGCTATGAAGAAATTCCTTAACTTCTTGTTCCTATTGATAGTAATAAAGGTTTGGGAATGATTTTATGTAAATTTTGTGCTTCTCGCCTTAAGAATCACGAGGAAAAAAAGAAGTTGTTCTGTACGTATAATTTACTAGGGCTCAGAACGGATGCAACTAAAACTTCAAAATGCTAGCACTGGAAGTACCATTTTTTGTTGGCAGATGAAAACAAATCCCTTTCAAAATATTTAAAACCTGCAAGCCTTAAATTTGACGATGATACAAAATCAAGAAATTAATGCTTGGTTTGCAACTCTGAAAACAGTAACAGTTTTCAGAAAACTATGAAAACAAACTGAGTAAGTTTTTTTTCAGTTGAACATCATATAATCTCTTTATAGGATATGTTTAATTACACCTGAAAATTTTGCTCCGTGTTCTTATTAGGCAGGCCGGGGTTTAAAATGGAATGAAAATTTGTTCACCATAAAGTCCACAAGGCACAGGAGAGGTACTGGTGAATTCAAATATGGGTTAAATTGTATATAAAGTTTGACCGGTGGTATCAATTTGTGAATATTTTTTTAAAAACTTAACTCGAATTTTAAAATTTATTGACATAAAATGTAAAATAAACAGTTTTTTTGGGGCAATTGTAAGGACAAGAGATAACTTGTATTAATACGTCACTTTATATATATATATATATATATATATAAAATCTATTTTGTAATGAATCATATGAATTACTCTTTTATGGTTAAAAATATATATATATTATATATATGTATTACTCTTTATAAATACAATAACTTGCTCTAGTGTGGGAGTTATTTGTGAGAACAGAGTTTGTTGGAATGAATCATGTGTTGGTTAAGTACACCATGAAACCAATTGTGATAAAAAGAATTTATCTGTTTTTTCCCCCACTTCCAAATCTCATGATATAGAATACAATTCATTCATTGTGTATACTTTAAAACATGGCGGGCATATATGCATGTGTTAAGCCCTTGCCTCTATTTGCCTCAATGTTGATGGGGTCACATACACCTGCACCTGCTCCATCTCCTAAAACCATTTAACAACCGCAACTTTTTGTGCCTTTATATATATATATATATATATATATATATATGTTTGGATTTTGTTGTGTTTGCGCTAATAGTTACCAGTGGAATATATATTATGATGTTTGTTCTTGAATAAAAGTAGATCTGAATATGAATAACCCAAAGTTCTTACTACGAATAAGAAAAATAAACAAAAAGAATTAAATAACATCATCCACTAATTGTGAAACCTATCTTCATTATGCACATTACCAAATGTACATTTTAGTTTAGTAATAGTTTCTCACCTTCCAAAGTAGAGGCGATCGGGGATACATTTCTCTATAGGGACAAGTGGATGTATGAGTATGTTTTTTTTTGTCAAATCACTAAGGTTATAATCTAATGGTATCTTCTTTACTTTTTGTTGAGTGGAAGCTTAGAGTTCGAGTTCAAGTCTTATTGTAATTTTTATTAACTTGTTACATAACAGACCTCTTTTATTTATTTGTTTTCTGTCTTTACTCTTCAATTATTCTTCAAATTGGAAGTTGTTAAGTGTACACACTTTCTATGAGAAACAAAATTGATATAATGATTGTCTAACAATATACCATGTATACTAAGATCTTGCCCTGGTTGCAACATTGTTGTAAGGCTTGTATTGCTTTGCATGTGTTATGATTATTAGAAGATGAGGATTGCTGGTTTAAATGGATGAGTTTCGGTGGGCTACTTACTAAAATTGAACATTACAAAAATTAAGAATCACATTTACCGAAAAAAAATAAAAATAAAGAATCACATTTACAAAGAAATAAGAAAGAAAAAAGAGCAAAAAGTTTTCAGGAATTAAAAATTACGGGTGAATTACATGATTTTGTGATTCTAGGATTCATAACAGCTGCAACAAAGACTTGAATTTGGGAAGTCCTTTTTTATGTTGGTAGAAAGCAAACCCAGTCAAACTAATTAAAACCTACAAGCCTTAAATTTGTTAGTAATCCAGAATTTATATAAATAAAAATATATATATATTGCAGCCTGATCCAAAATCAAGAAATTAATTTTTTTCCCTAAAATTTCAACCAGAACGTGCAAGGTGTCTTCATAAGCTTAGATAATTGTTCTTAAGACATGCCTCTTCTAATAACACCAGGCATTGGGAATTTGACATGTTCTTAAGATGACTCTCGAAAAGTTAGGGTGTTTGTGGGATTTTGTCAGAATCCTCTCCAGTGATTTGTATTATGCAGTGCACCGGATATAGAGAGAGTGAAAACTTGTAAACCCCCTCAACTAATATCATAATGTTGTTCAACCAAGAGGTAGTGTCATGAGGTTGTGTAGATGTAGTGTCATGAGGTTGGGTTTACACAACATTAATAGTTTATATTAGAACATTAATATTTAAAATGTTCATCACACAATCTGTTTAGAGGATGTGTTGAATTACAGCTGAAATTTGTGGTCTGTGGTGTTACTAGGCCGGGATTAAAATGGAATGAAAATTTGTCCATAATTAAAGAAAAAGAAACGCACAGGAGAAAGTGTACGGGTGAATTCATATATTGGTTAAATTGTGGTATATAAAGTGTGACATTCCTTTTCCATATTATAATCCTTTTATTTGATGATCATAATCATTGATGTTGCAGGGGTAAAGATATGATGGTGAACTGTATAAGATCACCACCACTAAGGAGGTGGTTGAGGTGGTGGGGCACTCAGTATTTTATAGACTTTAGGGGTACTCGCAAAGAATGTTTTTTGAGTGGTGTTGGAGGTTGACATATATCGTTAAATCATTCTCAAACAGCTTAAACTTTTCGGATCAATTGGTAGTCTATCCTGAAATGAGAGCCTTGATTCTTGTCCCTGCAAGATAAGGTTATATACTTGTAAGGGATTGAGGGTGCTAGAACTTGATCTCCAACAGCTTAAGTTTTTGAGTGAGTCCAATGAATAGATAATGCTCGAAAACAAGTGAAGGATACTGTTCTGTTTGGTGACAATATACTCAAAGGAGCACTTTGCAAAATCTTGCCAGATCCTTAAAATTCTTCTCTGAACAAATTAAAAGAATGCATTAGTAATAATAATTGCAAGCCAAGACTATTTAACTTCATCTACAAGATCCTTCTACAATGATCAAACAATTTAAAGAGTCATCATATAATACCTTTTTTTTCCCTCCTTTCTTGATAAGATTCCTTGTGTTATTTAGATGATGGTCAAAAAATGATTATTGACTAGTTGTTCCTTAGCATGTACCAAATTTGACCATATACAGTGTTCTAAACTAAAGCATCTATTATGTGGCAACTCTTGTTACAACACATTAAGGCTTGGGCACCATTCCAAATTGTAATATAGCTCAAGTTATATATATATATATATATTTCCCCTCCTCTCCCTATTAGTCTAAAACCATAACTTAGGACGGTCGGTATGGTGCTGGTTGAGCTAGTCATTGCATTTTTTTTTTTTAATGAGGTGGGGCTCTCATTGGTTGGCCAAAGCATATGTTAACTGTGGCATGTGCTTCCGTCATCAGCTGTGTGAGCCCCAAATAGTTGGCCAATTGCCCAAACGTGGCCTTATACCAGCTACTTTTAAGACGCAAGGGTTAAGATCCAAAGCTGTTAGGATAAAGATAAATTAGTCAAAAGAAAATTCAGATGATCTAATCATATTGATACTTTTTATGGTTAATTTGTACTACATAACACCTTAGTTTTAGAGGAAAATATAAAAGAATTTTCTTAATGGAGGTAGCTCATTCTCAGATGTTGTCGATCTTCTCATGTGATTGCATGGGAAGTAGCTTTGAGTAAACATATCACCTCTGGCATTATTAAAAGCTGAATGGGACCATTGAGTTGGGACCAATGTCTTGACGATGCTCACAATTGAACTAAAAAAGGGTGCAACCCACGTCCTTTTGTTCCCTTACCCAACTTAGTGGGAGTGGGGTCAAAGTTTATCCTTCTTTTGAGATTCACTGAATAGTGTGTGAGAAACACCTTATTCTCCTTGTGTAATCCACTTAATATGGTTGGACATCTCATTTCATTTTTATTTTATTATATATATATATATGTAGTTTTTTTTTTTTTTTTTAAAAGGCAAGAACTAAGAATATTGTGCATAGAAATATGACAATGTGTACTAAACTATGTGTTAAATTGAGCAGTATCTCCATCTTAAAAATATTATTTATGATGCGTCATAATTCACAAATCATTATCATCGTCAGCATTCATATCTCTATATCATATATGTCATATTACATTAAATGTTTTGAAATTATTTTTAATTATTCTTATTCATTTGAGGGATTGGGAGTGACTGGTGCGGATGGGATGGTAGATATTGTGATGATTTTGTTTATGAGGCATGTGAAGAAATTGCTTTATAGCTCTCACTAAAGCAAGAAGGTACTGCAATTTGACATAACACGTATTATTATTGATAAAAGCAAGCTAGGCAACCCACCCTCTCTCCATCAGCCTTTTAAATTGAGTACTCAAAAGTGAAAGCTGCTTCTCACATGGCCTCCTCCTCTTTTAGACTACAGTGTGTGTGAATGTGTGTGTGTGGTCCATATGACTTGTTTGTAAGTCTGAACCTAACTGTTCACCCAAGCAAAGCCCCAACCTGAATTGAACTAGTTTGGTTCACCCAAGATCACAAATATTAATTTGATGATGATGATGAAGCTTACTAAATCAAAGTAGACAAGTTGGTGAATGGACCATGTTAGAAGGATCAATTATCATAAAAGAACAAAAACATAATACTACTATATATGAGGGACTAGATAATTAACTGGGATTACTTAATTTATAAACAGTTTGAAATGGTTGAGATGGCAATTAGTAGGTATAAAAAGAGGAGGAGTTAGGGATTGCGCGCCTTAAATTGTGGTAGACCCATGCTACCAGATTGAACTAACTAAAGCACCATTGTTGTCCTCATTAGCACAGTTAAAGACCAAGAGAGGTGGATTGGACCATCCAACTAATTAAGGGCACTAATTGGCTGGGCTTTTTGTAGCAACATGAGTGAGTGAGAACTTCAGGAAAATTTATTGCAATAGGTGGGTATTAATGAAAGTACATGAACAGTATGTTGTGCCAATTATTACTGATAAAAAATTCTGGATGACTTGGAAGTAAAATGTGTAGAAATATTATGGCATAAATCGATTTAATCATAGGATGAAAAATTGTGCACAGGTTATCAGAGTCGTCTTTTTCTGCATGTGTTGTGCACGAAGGATTCTGATGTACTCGGTGCACGGTGTACCGATCGGGCACATCAAATACAAATTAAAGGTATTATGAATGAATTATTTCGGAAACTCCTAATCCCTTTGGAAGCAAACTTCCTCATAATTATAAATTTTGCTAACCTAAATTATAGGAGTTTACATTTTGTAAACCATGAAATCTATTATCTAATATGATTGCAATGATAGAAATGAATTAGATACACAAACTTTGATGTTATTTGTGTAAAAATCTGTGTGTTAGGAAAAGGAAGCAAATTAATTTATTATTGGTTGGGTGCTTTCACTGGGGGAAAACAGGTGCTGATGTGCAACCCACAATAAATTAGAGCCACATTTGTTTTAGTTTAACTACTAACGGTCCTCCTCTTTTTCTCTTGTTTAATTGAAGAGTAACTAACAATCTAAAGACCAAAATAGTCCATATATGTTGTAATTACCAAAATAAAATTTGTTTTAGTTTGAGTAATTAACCATCCTTCTCTTTTTCTATTGTTTATTGGAAGAGTAACTAAGATCAAAATAGACCATATTATTAAAATAAAATTAATACGGAGTATATAGCATGAACCATTCAATAATTGACAATTCAAAGCAGATGACTTTTTAAGCACTCTAAACACTATTAGTCACCTCCACTGCCGGTATAACGTGTTTCCATCTACTTACTTACGCAACACAAAAGATCAGTTATACACTCGGATTTAAAAAATTTTGTGAAGGGGATGGTCTTTTAATTTGTGAGGCAAATTTATATGGTGGATCTATTTTTATAATTTTAATAACGTTTTTCTTCATAATTTTAAAAAAATTTAAAGTATAAAATGCAAAAAAAATTAATTCACAAGAGTATATTGTAATTTTAGTTGGGGTATCTTCATAAATTCTTAAAAATTCAAGTATAAAATGTAAAAAAAAAAAAAATCAGTGGGGCGAATTGTAATTTTAATGGGGCATCTTCATAAATTCTAAAAAAGTTAAAGTCTAAAATAAAAATATAAAAAATCTAGTGGGGGCATCCGCCCCAACTGGACCTATGTCCGTGGGTGGTTATACAACACAAAAAAAATTTGTCATTTTATTTTATTAAATAACTTTTTATTAAGCAAGTCACCAAGTCTCTACTTTTCAGATGGAGGTCTGAGTTCAAATCTCAGTTAATTGAGACACTAACTATAAAAAAAAAAAATTGAAGGTCTTCAACTCTAAATGATCTGTATTAGAAAATTTTGACTTTTAGTAATATTTCTATGTAATTACATTTTTAAACAATTTTAATTGGATCACATAATTAATATATGGGTTAAAATCAAAACCCTTAATATTTTGAAAATTATACCTAAAACTTCAACAGAATTAAAAAATTCACTAACTAAAAAAAAAATTATCAAGTTATATGTGACCCAAGTGTTAACTTGATTGTCAAATGATAAAATTGACTTTGTTTTTTAATATTAAATTAAAATGTTAAAAATTATTATTTTAAAATTATAAAAATAATAAAGGGCCATTAAATAATATTAAATTACAAAATTATTATTTAATGTAAAATTACAAAATTGACATTGTTGTTTTAAAATTACAAAAAAAATTTCTAAAATTATTATCATTATTTTAATTTAAGATTAAATAGTAAGAATAAATTTGGTCATTTTACGAATATGGAGGCAACTTTTTAAATTTTATTTAGTTTTACTGAGACAATTTTGACACTAAATATAGAAAGGATGTAAAATTGTTTGGCACAGTGACTGCACACTGTGTTACAGGAGAGGATCCGGTACCTCTATTCCCGCCCCAAATTTTCCCACTAAATTCTCTCTCTCTTGCAAGCACCCTGATATCTTCATCATTATCTACACACTTTTAACTGCACTTTCACTGTTCAAAAGGAATCTCTCCTTTTTAGACAAATAAAGTACTTTTGTGTGTATATCTCTATATATACTTCTGTCTATGTAAAATGTTCGAATGGGTTCTTCTCCTTCTTCACCATAAAACGCCCAAAAATCTATCAAAAACCATTCTTCATCCTGTCTTGTAGTAATATTCTACAAACAGTGGAATCTTGGCTTTACCAATATTTTCTTCTAACTCATTCCCAACTTTTCCTTGTAGGGCATGTTTCCCTTTCTGGGTTTTACTTCCTGTGATTAATGATGGCTTCCTTCTTTTCTTCTCTCAAAGCATTAATGGGTATTTTTTATTTTGTCATGTGATTCTTCTGTTATTCTTCATCTACTTTGTCAGAGCTCTAATGGGTATTACTACAGATAGTTCAACTGCTTGTAATTATGTTCTAGGGTTACCCTTAATCCCTTATGCTGTCTACTTGTGGAACAGGTGTCATTATTTCTCCAAGTGAGTATGTTGTTTTCTCTTTTCTTTTCTCTCCTCCTTGAGTTTAACTCAAAGACATCTTGATTGTTAATTTTTTTTGACATGCTACTTTCCCCTGGTGAGTTTTCTTCTCTTTCATGTTAGGTCTAGCTTTATTTAAGGGTCTTGAATAATTTGTTTGAATCTCAATAGGGTTTCTCTTGCTTGTATTTACTTCTCAACAATTGAAGAATACATTCAATTAGTAAAAGCACTTTGATTGGTGAATTTTTATTTTGCACTTTTCTTTTTTGCAATTTGTACAATTACCTTGTTGAATGGTTTTGTAAATTATTGGGCATTTTTATCTGGACTTGGATTTGTGTTGCCAGATGCTTACACCAAGAAATTAGAATATGTCTCTGTTTAGTTGAATTCTGTCCCAACTATTTTGCCTAAATTTTGCAGAAAAAAGTGTTGTCTTTTGAAATTAAGCTTCTCCAATCTTAAGTTTCTATTGTCAATGCCTCCTTCATACTTTCCCCTTCGGTGGGAGAGCACCGGAGACCAGTGGTGGTATGCTTCCCCAATTGATTGGGCAGCTGCCAATGGCCACTTTGACTTGGTCCGCGAGCTTCTTCGCCTTGATGGCAATCACTTAATCAAACTCACCTCTCTCAGGCGAATTCGCCGCCTTGAGACTGTCTGGGATGATGAAGAACAGTTTGATGATGTTGCGAAATGCCGTTCTCAGGTTGCACGAAAGCTCCTTCTTGAGTGTGAAAACAAGAAAGGTAAAAATGCTCTTATCCGAGCTGGGTATGGTGGATGGCTTCTATACACTGCTGCCTCATCTGGAGACTTGGGTTTTGTTCAAGAATTGCTTGAAAGAGACCCTCTGCTTGTTTTTGGGGAAGGAGAGTATGGTGTCACTGATATACTTTATGCTGCTGCCAGGAGTAAGAACTCTCAGGTTTTCAGGCTTCTTTTTGATTTTGCTGTCTCTCCAAGGTTTTTGGCGGGGAATGGCAGAGAGTTTGAGGAGCACATTGAGGAGATACCTTCTGCTTATAAGTGGGAGATGATGAATAGAGCTGTTCATGCTGCAGCAAGAGGAGGTAATTTGAAGATTTTGAAGGAGCTTCTTGGTAATTGCTCTGATGTCTTGGCTTACCGAGATATTCAAGGCTCAACTATCCTACATGCAGCTGCTGGCAGAGGACAAGTTGAGGTAAGGCTAAAGTTCTAGTCTTTCAATTTGCTGTTCTGCTGCAAAAGTCTTTAGATGTTCATATTGCTTTTCTTTATACCTTCTACATATCTGGCTACACAGATTAGGTAACTAGCTGTTTAATTAGATTTGCTAGTTGCACTCATGAATGCTGTTGAGATTGGTCATTTCTAAAATTTGAGTCTTTCTTGTAGCCCAAATTTAGGTTATCCTAAATTAAATATGAAATATGATTCTGGCTAATTGTATGGTAAGGTTTGATATTGGAGGAGCTAATTAAGATAAGTCCAACTATTTTGTGGCTTTCAGTATTTATATATAACAAATTTCCTCTGTTGTTTTGGAAATAAGATTAGCAATTTCATTTTAGTATGTCATTTTTAGATATCTACAATACCCATCTTATGAGGTTTGGGTAACAGGATATGAAATGCATGTATTCTGTGGCTACCTTGTGGGTGGGTGTGTGTGAGCGTGGGCAGGTGGCACCAGTAGGCTATCAGATTGGGCGAGCTACAGGTGCACAATTCCACATCGCTTGGATGTGGATGGGACAAATGCTATATGTAGATTCAACACTCTTCTATGGCACAACATGTTTTAAAGCCGTGATGGCCGGAGCCCATCAGAGCTCCAAAGTGAAGCGTACTTAACCTGAAGTAGTACCAGGATGGGTGACCCCTCAGGAAGTCTCAGGGAGCAAAAAACGGACAATATTGTGTCTGGCTAGGGTGAGGGTTGTTACAAATGGTATCAAAGCCTGACCAGTCGGAAGTGTGGCCAACGGGGACGTTGGGCCCCAAAGGGGGTTGATTGTAGCGACCTTGTGGGTGGTTGTGTGTGAGCGTATGCAGGTGGCACCGCTAGGCTACCACACTGGGCGAACTACAGGTGTACAATCTCACATTGCCTGGGTGTAGATGGGCAAGTGCTACATGTAGAATCAACACTTTTCTATGACACAACACGTTTAAAAGTTCTGATGACCGTGAACCCATCAGAACTCAAGAGTTAAGTGTGCTTAACCTTGAGTAGTATCAGGATGGGTGATCCCCTGGGAAGTCTCTGATCCGGGGGAGCCAAAAGCGGACAATATTGTGTCTGACTAGGTTAAGGGTTGTTACATATTCATCGCACAAAAGGGTCTATAACAATTCCAGTCAGGAAAGGCAGAATAAATGGCTTGCAACACATTGTAGTAGGATCACACAAGTTTACCAGTTGGGAATATCTGAGTAACATATCCATTTCTCCTTCCTTCTGCTCATCCAAAGATGTCCAACATACATGGGGCTGGTTATCTGGTGGTTAAAATAAAAACTCTTTATCACAACTTTTGCTCCTTGGTGCTGGAATTGGTTTTGGGAAATGGTAAAATAGTCCCTATTAAGAGTTTTGAACTCTTGATTCGATTGTTGACTGTCTATATCCATAAAAACTCATAAATTAGTGGTTCCACACACAACACATCTTTTGCTAAGATGGTTGTTCATGTCAAACAGGAGGTTGCAACCCTGCAACCATAGATTTCCCTAATTTTTCATGAGCATAAGTTGATGGCTCAAAATATCCTTCTATTGAGTTCGGATGACCTTTTTTTTCTAAAGAGCTTTACATGTTGGATCTTCATTAAATAGTTGATTCATTACAGGTCATTATCATATTTAGTAAACATATTAAGGCTCATATAGATGCTCCTTTGAGGCTTTCTTTATCTTGATTTAATTTACTTGAACAGCTTAATTTTAAAAATTCTAGCCTAATTTCTATTTAATTTTTAGTCAGATCTTATAACTAATCTTGCCATGGATGCAGGTAGTTAAAGATCTCGTAGCACACTTTGATATCATCAACTCAACAGACAATCATGGCAACACGGGATTGCATGTAGCTGCTTATAGGGGCCAATTAGCTGTGGTTGAAGCACTAATTCTTGCATCTCCCTCATCCATCTATATGAGAAACAATGCTGGAGAAACTTTTCTACATATGGCTGTTTCTGGTCTTCAAACTCCTAGTTTCCATAGATTGGATCGCCAGATTGAGCTTATGAAGCAGTTAGTATGTGGAAATATGTTCAACATGGAAGACATCATAAATGTCAAAAATAACGAAGGTAGAACTGCTCTTCATGTGGCCATCGTTGGGAACATTCATTCTAATCTGGTGGAACTGCTGATGAGTGTTCGTTCAATTGATGTTAACAAACGTGATATAAATGGCATGACCCCTCTTGATCTTCTTAGGCACCGGCCACATTCTGCATCATCTGATATACTGACCAGACAGTTGATTTCAGCTGGGGGAATCTTCAGTTGTGAGGACTATACAGCAAGAAGAACCATTGCCTCCCACTTAAGAATGCGGAGTATTGGAAGCAGTCCCGGAACTTCTTTCAGAATCTCTGACACAGAGATATTCTTGTACACAGGCATTGAGAATGCATCAGATGCCAGTGGTAGTGCAGGACCGAGCACGTATTCAACAGAATTGAGCCAACATGACCCAACTGTTGAGAACCGTAGTCCATCCAATGATAAAAAACCACATTCTGTAAATTATGCAGCACAACGTTTGAAAGGCCTCCTCCACTGGCCCAGGATGAAAGACAAAAAATCCAAAAGATTGAAGAAATTGGTAGATAATAATGCAGTAAGCAACTCGGATGGAACTCCAATCCCACTTCGGCAAAGATGTTCAAAATCTGCATCACTTCCAAACAACAAGCGGACACTTTCTGTTAGAAGTAACCTTCCAAGTCCAACTGCAAAGAAGAAACTTGCTTCAGGGCTGGTGCACGGTGTTATGCAGGCCATGCCAACTTTAACAGTGCCACGTCGATCACGTTCAAGTTCATTTTCAAAATCATCGGTTTCTTCTCCTCCTCCACTGAATAAGCAAAAAGGTGTCTATATGGAAAATGATACTGCAGGGCCATCTTGTTCCAATCAAGTACTCGATGAAGGAGCAGCAAATTTCATTCAAAAACGAGGCTCAGTTAATAAGAGGTCGATGAACCAGTATTTCTGTTTTGGCGGACCAGGCTCATCCATGGGAGATCCAATGAGTAGGCAGCAGCCAAACCAGAGTTCCAAGTGTGCCACTCTTTCGGTGGCTTGATTCTAATGATAAGATATATCTTTCAAGATTATGATTTGAATATCACAAGTGCAAGGAGAGAAGCTGTCTAGATCCATGAAGCCCGACTAATTCAGTAGAATATTGGTGAGTTTGGTTACTGGTTCCTGGCTTTCTTGCTTCTATGACAAGTTTGCCTGTTCAACTTGTGTAGATTATGTATTTTGTAGCTATAACTGTTTGTCTTAACAATGTTTTCATCTGATATTATGAGACATTTGCCTAGAAGAAAGATGCAATGATCTGAGATGGTTAATTTTTATCTTGCAACTGTGATCATCTTTCTATTATTAACATATCTGATAGTTTAGAGATGCCATAAAAAATAGAAGTGTGTCATGGTTTTATCAGATTTCTTAAACATAAAATGAGATATAGGAAAAACTTATAGTAATACTGTTATAGATGATTTGTATGATTATTTTGTTTACATGATCATAGATGTTAGTGAATTATTTGTGTAAATGAGTTGTGAGATTTCCGTCTTGAGCTGAACAAAAAAGTGCATGGCTTTCTAATTGGAAGCCGAAAATTCAGTGGTTGGGTGTCGGATAAGAGGATCATATTGTTTGCATTATCAGCTCAAGATGGTACATGAATCAATTATATATATTCTCTTGGGTAATATTACTCACGCACCCATTGAGCCACTAGGAGGAGGATTTGAACCGTCAACCGTTCACTTTTGAAAGGTGAGAAAATACTAATCAAAGAGTTGACCTAATATCCTTCATCCAAGACAGTGTGTGAGTCTGTGTTGCTGCTGCGGTATTTTGGCATACATGTTATATAGTATTTCATCCTCATTTGGGTCTTGTATAAATTCCACTTCAAAACAGAAAGCATTAAATTGCATTTATATTAATACTGTTGTACAGAAGTTGTTGAGGTATCCTGAGCCTTGTATTGGGCTTGTTGGTAGGACATGGGTGTGTCTAACATTCCTTTGAGCAGCCAATTTCCCTTCTTTCTCACTAACCAAGTGTCCCATAATCATATATGCGTGATCGAGGTCAAACAAAATACTAGTTGAAGTTTGTAAATTATAGTCTCCAAAAGTAAAAGTAGAGAATGTACAACAGAGACAGGACAGGAGATGTTATGCAATCCAGAAGGACAAATTAAGGCTCAACCAACCCAACGGACAAATTAAGGCTCAACCAACACAACACCACCCTTTACAATCATAGCAGAAGTGACATTCATATACCAACAAACAAAATCATGAGTGAATTATTCATTCTAAAATTACCCCTCCTAGGGCTAGGGCTAGGGCTAGGAGTCAGATACCCCCATTCATAGCTTAAAGACCTTCTTCTTGTACGTTTCCATGGATCAAAATCGTCTCCGGCGCAACAATAAATCTGTTGCAGCCGGCGAGCAATGTGCGGTGGAGATTGTGCCATGTCACTTACTAATAAGAGACAAAAATTGGGTAAATCATTTTTACCAAATACGTATTATAAGTAAATATACACAGACAAATCTGTTGGACACGTATTACAAGCCATACATACACAGACAAAGTGCACTATTTGTATTTGTTCGTTCTCGTCTTCGGATATTGAGACGATTTTTGAAGCGACCGAAGGTGGTGTATGAAGTGAAGAAGAAATGTCTGATTTTGAAGCAACTGAAGGTGGATAAACTGAAGAATCCTTCGATCGTGAGGAATTTGTTTCCAATCTTGAAGCCGTATGAAACCCACAAGGTATGATTTGTATCAAAATTTGTATTCTGAGTGGTGTTAGGGTTTCGTTTACAGAGAGAGAGTAAGCTTAAATCTATTGTATTTTGTTCCCAATCTTGAAGCTGTATAAAACCAGCAAAGAAAAAGATCGAAACCCTCTCAAATTAGCTCTCCAATCCCCAAAATCTCCAGTCAGAAACCCTAATTCGAACAGATATTTCTATGAAACCCAAAATCTAATTTAGAAAGAGAGAGAGTGTGAATATAAAGAGATGGAGGGGAGAGAGAGAGAGAAATAATTGAAGAGTGGAGTTGCAGAGATAAGGAAAGGATGAAGAAAATTTTGGAGATCCAGGGTGTAAAGGTCGTGGGATGTTGAAAGCACTCCAATATTTATAAGTGTAATAAGAAAATGAGAGTGTGTGTTGCGGGGGACCAAAATCAAATCGTGGGACCAAAATTGTTGTGTGCCGTGTGAGTCACTTGGATGTAATTTGTCTTTTTTGTTTGAAATGCCATATATATATATATATATATATATATATTTATGTTTATCGTCTTTGATGTGTTTTTATGCAAGATCCGTTAGTAAAAGACATTTTGTGGTCTGTTTGAATGCACATAAAAAACTGTTTCTCAGATCTCTCAGATACTGTTCTCTTCTACAAGTGAAACAATATTGCACTTTCATCATTCTTGGCTTTTCCTTTTGATTTCTGAAGCATCAATTTCTTCTTTCGACTGTTATTTGTTCTGCGTTTATTAATTGGACAAAAAAAGGGTCTGACCCCACTAAACCTAATATACATCATAAGTATATATCACTTTCAAGTAGTTGGATTCCATTTCAACATATGAATATTGATACATGTATCTCTTAAAATAAAATCTAATATTTATAATTATACAATGCAAAAAAGGGAAAAACAAATTTGAATTGAATAATCCCAAAAACTGTATGAAGTAAACGTCCCAATATGTCAGTCTGGAAAATCCCCATCTCTAAGATTACCACATCCCAACTCAGTTATAGTGTGTGTTGTGGGACCAAAATTGACGTGTGTCGTGTGAGTCATTTGGGTGTCCCAGCTGTCTTCTTCGTTTGAAATGCCTCTTAATTAATTAATTATATATATATATATATATATATATATATATATATATATATATATATTTATGTTCATCACATCGTATTTGCTATGTCATTTGGGTGTAATTTGTCTTTCTATTGTTAATTAGTTTCTACAAGTGAAGCAGTATTGCACTTTCATCATTCTTGGCTTTTCGTTTTGATTTCTGAAGCATCAATTTCTTTATACTATTAATTACCTTATTTGTTCTGCGTTTATTAATTGGACAAAAAAAGTGTCTGACCCCACTAAACCTAAATAGTTGAATTCCATTAACAAGTGAAAGTAGTGTTTGAACTTACTAGTCTTGATTATATATATATATATATATGTTTATCGTATTTGCTGTGTTTTTATGCAAGATCCGTTAGTAAAAGACATTTTGTGGTCTGATTGAACGCACATAAAAAACTTTTTCTCAGATGATGTTCTCTTCTACAAGTGAAACAATATTGAACTTTCATAATTCTTGGTTTTTCGTTTTGATTTCTGCAGCATCAATTTCTTTCTATTGTTAATTAGCTTATTTGTTATGCGTTTATTAATTGGACAAAAAAATGGTCTGACACCACTAAACCTAATATACATCATAAGTATATACCACTAAACCTAAGTAGTTGGATTCCATTAACAAGTGAAAGTAGTTTTGAACTTACTAGTCTTAATTGTAGTGCACAAGCCTCCTTGTGAACGATTCAAGTTTGGGAATCTCTTAGAATTAAGGGGTAAAAAAGAAAAAAGAAAAAAAAAAAGGAACTAAGGTAGAAACTAACTTCTAAATTGTTTTGTCTAGAAATTGTTATAAATTATTCAGTGGAAAAAAGAAAGAAAGAAAAACACACAATTAACATATAGCAGGAAACTTGCTTGTCTTAACAGAACATGGGGTTGAAAAATCTTTCCCTGGACCTAATGGTGGTCGTTGGTCTATTTATTTATTTTTTTGCTGTTGAATTACTATGTTGTTAGGGTGGTAACCTCTTGGACCTTGGTTGTTAGTTTGTTGCCTATTTGTAGATCTTGATTGTAACTTTTAGTTTAATGTGAAACTTATGGTGGTACTCCATGCTGGTTCGTGGCATGTACACTAGTAAAAGTTTACTTCGTTTTAGTGAAATGACCATTCCTTTTTTCCTCACATTTTAGAAGAGTATTCCTTTTTTCCTCACATTTATAAGACTATTCCTTTGTCCTTACATTCATAGAATTCTGAAAGCTGCAATGTTTTGAGAACTTATTCAGATTTGATCTACTTTAGAAAACTTAGGTAAAATATTTAAATGATAAGAAAATATTGTTTGCAATAGGCGACTGTTGTTTACTTGTGTATTTATTTATTTATTTACTTACATTCTCTTGGATTATCAGAAGATGATAGGGAACGACCTACCAGCCCATCTGTAAAAAAATACTGAAGAGGAGGGTATTAAGGTAGTACATGAAGTCAAATGCAAGCTTTATGTGAAGGTAATTATTAATGCGAATTTATGTGATATCATTCTTTAAGAAGGTAATTAGTGAGTTGTGAGAGTGCATTTGTAGCCCGCCCTTACTTTTACTTTCAATTTCGATGTAGGAGACCAGAATGCAACGTTTACATTTTATGCACACACTCATATCTTTAATTGTATTTATGAATTCCTGCAATAATGACACAGTTATTAAGTTTTAAATTATGTATATAAAATTATAAAATTATAGGATACTTCTACTGTAATATTCCACTGTTTGCAATCAATTCTTGTTGCTTAACTTATTTCTTCTTTGCTTTGCATTGTGTTTCAGGATTGGAGTAATTGAAAAATGTTTTAGGCAGGACACTGTTGACTAATTTCAATCCATCAAAAAAAATTTAATCTTACTTTACCTCTTATTGCAAATTGAAAAACCATATCTTTTAGGGTTGTAATGGGTAAGAAGACGGGAAAGAAAATAATTCGAAAAGATAAGGTAATATTTTATATGATATGTGATTTTGTTTGAAAACATATAATATTTGATTCTTAATAATAATTAATTTTTTGATTTAGAATGAAGAATTCAAATTAAAAGCTGGGTGGCATAGATGCTCTTTGTCGAAATTCATTGAAGTAGTATCCAATCTGAACGAGGAAAAGAGGAAAAATGTTGAGGATATTGGTTTTGGCAACATGCTTAACCTGAAATGTTCATTTTTGTCAACTAAACTCTTCAATTACTTCGTAGAAAATTTTGATAGGCAAAAATGTCGGATTAGACTTCAAGAGGAGAATGTGTATCTGCCCATTAATGCAATTGATGTCCAGTCCATTCTTCGCATACCTGTTGGCATTATCCCAGTGCATATTTGTAAAAATATTGATTCTGATTGGGTAGACGAAGGTGGGTATCGCAATGATAAAGAAATGCATGTGGACCAACTGATGGATAGGGTAAAGAATTTGGAGGCTGGCAAAGATTTCAAAAGAGCG